CGTCTTTGGAAGAGGGCAAAAGTAATTTAGAGCTGCTAGTGTAAAGTTTGTATTTGAAAGGAGAGAATCTGCATTTCCTATGCTGCTGAAAATCTCCCTGGAAAGAAAAAAAACAACACAAAAAACTCCAGTAGAGTAGTGAAATCAAAACTTCAGAGTCCCGGGAAATGAGGAACTGCTGTCACTCAAACATTATTAAAAACAACCATCTTAATCCCTTGAATTCTAGTCATCATTCAGCATTTCACATGCAGCTAAGAAGAGATCAGAGATATGACACTTATATATTGCTTCCCACCAGGCATTATGTATAAGTAAAAGCATCAGCTTCTCCCTGCTCTTCTGAGTGGATTGCAGTCAGTGGGAGTTTTGCTTTAGGCACAGCCTGCCTTCGAAAGGGCATCTTTCACTGAAGAACTTTTCCTTTCATGTATTTTTCTTTTAAATGTAGTGGAAACTTCCTACTTTGAGGCAGATAACATTACACAAAGAACCTAAAGAAACAGTTGCCACTGAGAAACTGAAAGTGGTACCTATTATTTGATCAATATTTCCTACTGCTGCCATCAAATTGGACTTGCCAGGGATCCGTGGATTTTTAAGAGACATGTCAAGACCCTGAAATGCTTCCCATTCCCTTAAATGGAGAGATAAAAAAGGGTCGTTCCCAGGTACTTCGTTCTTTGTGGGATTGGTTGCCACATTCACTCTGGACTGAAAAAACGGGAACGATAGTTACTTTTTCGAATTGCTTCCATCTCAAATGTCTATGGAAATAGGAAGGGGGTTCGAGGGACCTGCTTGTGAGGAACGCTGACCAGCAGGCTGGTGCTGGTGGAGTTATCTGAAATGGGAGCCTGCCCCTGGCCAAGCGCAGGCAGGGCGGGTCTGGCGCCTTGGAGGCGAGGCCTCCGGCCTCCCTGCCGAGGCTGCTGGCCTCCCCGCCGAGGCCTCCGTCCTCCCTGCTGAGGCTGCTGGCCTCCCCACCGAGGCTGCTGGCCTCCCCGCCAGCCACAAGCGAAAGGCAGGGCTACTTCCACCTGTGCCTTTGGCTTCCAGGGTCTGTCCAGGACAGGGAACTGCAGGGAGGTCAGGCACTTCTACAAATTGATGCAGAGGATTTGGAAAGACACTGATGCCACCTGCTGTGCCATTTTGCTTTTAAATACACAAACCCAAGCCCTGAGTAACGCCACTGCCCCAAAGCTCACGTTTTCCCATTGGGTTTGCCTACTAGGGTTAGAAAAAAGATGAATTGCTCTGCAGGTTTTAATCTTATCTCGTGGTGGGGATCCCACATGCTGTACGAACCACCCATTTCACAAGGCATGGCGGAGACCATAGCACCCACCCGGCCCCGAAGAGCACAGCAAATTGCTTCCTACCCGTTGCTGGTGGTTGGCGGTGTCACCTGGCATCAACAGCATTGACCTCTGACTGCTGGAGCTTGCCTGTGGTCCAGAGCACATGACAGAGAACATAAGGAAGGAGGCCTGCATTAGGGATGCCACAACATATAGCCTCACCCCCAAATAAAATTAAATCTTTAACTTCACGATATTTTGATTAGTTTTAAATCTAAAGCTGTTTAACATTTCCCCAGATTTTTTTTTTTCAGAATTTCAGTTCCATGAAAAAGATTTTAATTCCTTCTTAGAAGGCAATTAATTTAAAAGTGTTCGAGTTGTGTGTGCAAAGTCAAAATCCCACTTTCAAACCAACTCCCTGTAAAATTGCTTCTAATCTGAAAAGCAATTGAAAAAGTGGCACCTTTTTTGATCAAGTGGCCACTTTTCCATGATTTCTTCAGGTCAGAGAGCTTTCAGAGTACTTGAGGCTCCTCTGCCTACCATATTTAAACAGCGGCATGGGCAAAGAAAAACAAAGCTGATGATAGCTATTCAACACTGCAGATTATTAACACTGTTGTCTAGACAACTCAACTTCATCTCTGAAAAAGTGAATACATGATGAAGTTAAAGAACATTTTGCAGGGACTTGTTCTGTGAAAGGTTCTCAGGTGGTTTGATCTTTGATTCAGATTATGGGTATGCACCTTTTACTGTTGTCCATTTGAAGACCAGAACAAATGTAAAGAATAAAGTACGTGCAGAGTATAGGGTACTTGGAGTACTTGCACACTTCATGGTAACTGCTAAACAGAAATTGATGTAAAATATAATTGTAATTGATATAAGATTAATTGTGGCCTGGAGTAGAAGGAAATGACTGTCAAACTGCACAGAGTTTGAGGGCTGTCTCAGAGCTTGGCACTCTTAAGGATTGCCAACTGTTAGCAATGTAATTGTGTTATTTTTATAATTCAGGCATGTAACTAAGGGTGATTACAATGTAAAGGAATAAATGTTCTGTCAGTAACATGAACACTGTCTGAATAAATTATTGGTGCACATAAAGTCATACACTTGAGAAAATTAACATACACAAGCCATACGTCTTGGCATTATCTGGATGACAGGAATGCTAGAGTACAAGTGGTTGGGTCACCATCCAAAGCACATGAGAGGTTTGATTTCGTTGCAATGCTGTAACATCCCTAGGAAGCACAAACAAGGCACCTGGAAACTACTGCTTCAAACCTCCCAAGGAATAAGCACTGAAGTATCTTCACAGAAGCTGTGTCTCACCACAGGCTCACATGGAAGACAGACACCTATGACAGCTCCTCTCCCCTGTGAAAACACATGTATAAGGAACAGCAGCAGATAGAGAGATGTTTTCTTAACTGCGAATACCAAAATGAGGCCCTGACCTACACAACTTGTAGGATGAATGAGTAAAAAGAACAAAAGGAGAATTACTTAGATGTGGAAAAATACTGAAACAGTTATTTAAGTACTCAATTTGTAACCACATCATCAGTAGCAAGGTGGTAAGGAGCAATCATCGTGAGTCTGACAAAGTCAAATTGAGTCAAACTAATTTAATTCCTTTCTTTGGCAGCATCCCTGGGCTATGGAGGAGTTCCTAAGCCAGTAGCAGGAAATGTAGCTTTGGGGACTGGAGGGGGATGAGATACCAGAAAGCTGCTGGGAACGCAGCAGTGACTGCAAGTAGGTGGTGGCACCTGCGACAAGGGCAGAGATTTGAAGCACTGCCGAGAGGGATTCAACTAGGCACCACAGAGAACAAGAGCAGACTGAAACTGGCTGCTGGCAGCCACCCTCTCAGGTCATCTCTTCTGATTTCCTCCTGCCCAAAGTCAAGCATGCAGAACATTCCTAATAGCTGCATAGAGTGCTGTGACCCATTTGAACCACAGCACGTTAAGAAATTTGCTGCTAAACGAACATTCTAATGTTGAGAAAAATCTAAAGAAAAATTAAAATATACCAAGTAGGTTCAGTCTAGGGATGAGAGAGTTGATGAGGACAGTCTTCAGATACATAATAGACTGGCATAAAAAGAATGGTGATGAGTTATTCTCCGTGTAATTGCTTGGTCCTTTACGGTTAATTCGGTATGTTTGGGGAATAACTAGAACAACAGTGAAATGCTACAGGAAGCAACTTAAACTGTGGAATCCGCCATATGGCAGGCTTCTCAAAAAGAGGAGAACAAACACAGGTTATGAAAGGTCTGGACATGCTTCATGTGCTTCAGAAAAAGGGAAATTGAATAAATGGCTTCCACACTTTCCTTACAATCATTGTTTGATCACAGTTAGCATGAATAACACTTACGCTTGCATGAAGTCACTACATTTTTTTACATAAGTCAAACCTAGAGGAAGAAAATTAAAACAAACCATGTAGATTTGCAGCTTAAATTTGGTAAAATGATCCAAGTAACTTGATCTTTACATGTCAACATTGGTATTCCATAATAAATTCCATAATAAATTCCATCAATGAAACCAGCTCAACAAAAGTAACTGGTGCTTCCAACTTTTTCTGAAGAATTGTAGAATCACAGAATGGATTAGGTTGGACAGGACCTTAAAGATCGTCTAATCCCACTCCACACCTACCATGGGCAGGGACACCTTTCATTAGACCAGGTTGCTCAAAGCCCCGTCCAACCTGGCCTTGAACCCTTCCAGGGAGGGGGCAGCCACAGCTTCTCTGGGCAACCTGTGCCAGTGCCTCACCACCCTCACAGTGAAGAATATATTCTTTACATCTAATCTGAAACTATCCTCTTTCAGTTTAAAACTGTTACCCCTTGCCCTATTCCTACAATCCTGATAAAGAGTCCCTCCCCATCTTTCCTGCATTTTCCCTTTAAGTACTGCATGGCCGCTATAGGGTCTCCCTGTAGTCTTCTCTTCTCCAGGCTGAACAATCCCAACTCACTCAGCCTGTCCTCACAGGGGAGGTGCTCCAGCCCCCTGATCATCTTCGTGGCCTCCAATGGACCTGCTTGAGCAGGTCCATGTCCTTCTTATGTTGGGACCCCCAAAGCTGGATGCAGTACTCCTGGTGGGGTCTCACAAGAGCAGAGTAGAGACGGAGAATCCTCTCCCTTGATCTATCATCATGCTTCTCTTGATGTAGCCCAGGTTGACTTTCTGGGCTGTGAGTGCACATTGCTTGGTCATGTTGAGCTTCTCGCCAGCCAACAAGAAGTCCTCCCCACAGGGCTGCTCTCAATGCACTCATCACCCAGTCTGTATTTCTGTTTTTGGTTGCCTCAACCCATGTGCAGGACCTTGCATGTGACCTTGTTGAAGCTCATGAAGTTTGCACAGGCCCACCCCTCCAGCCTGTCCAGGTCTCTCTGGATGGCATCCCTTCCCTCCGGCGTGTCAGCCGCACCACACAGCTCAGTGTCGTCAGCAAACTCGCTGAGGGTGCACTCAGTCCCACTGTCCATCTTGCCAACAAAGATGTTAAACAGCACCGGTTCCAGCACTGACCCGAGGAACGCCACTCGTCACTGATCTCCACTCAGACATCCAGCTGTTGACCGCAGCTCTTTGAGTGTGACCATCCAGCCAATTCCTTATCCACCGAGGATAAGAGATGTTACTAATAAACTAACATCAAAATAATTTGCTTTATTGCTAGTGATTTTGTATTACAATTTAGACTAAGTTCTATTTGCATATTTAAAGGAACCAAAAGAAAATACATACTAAAAACAAACCAACCAACCAAAACCCTAAAATTACTGATTACAATGTATAGTCACTTTCAAAAATCCTGGTATTTTATAACTAACTTCCTGAGCATTGTAATTTCAAACCAGATTATTTTATTTCCACTTGTCATTAAAATACCCACTTGATTTCGTATTAGAGTAAAACCTCCCATAGGAAAGAAAGGTTAAAAACTGCGCATATGACTTATTTTACAACTAGTGTTGAGATCCTTATTGGATTCTGGAGGCAATTTACTAGAGTATAAAATAGATATAAAAATATAGAATCATCTTTATTAATAAGGTATGGATTTGTTCAGATCAGGTTTCTTGGGATACAGCCTTCTATTTGGATCTCAGCTGGCCAGTCACCGTATCTGTTCTTCTTTTTGTCAGAGTGGTTTATCTGTTAAAAGAAGTAAAATAAGTTCAGTATTTAGTTCTCCATTTACAAACTAGTTTGTCAAACCTCATACAACAGAAGGGGGTAATGGATTAGGACTGGGAAGCTAAGTAGCACGTTGCAGATCTTGCTTGACATAATGGGTGAGGATTCCACCAGTTTTTCTCTTAGACAGAGCACTCTATTTATTTCCCAGATGGCTGTCATAATATACACTAAATTGAATACCTTTTTCCTGCAGAAGCGCTGTGATGTGAAGAAGATTGCAACAATATTCTGGGGAAAAAAAAAACCTGTGGAAGTTTCACATGCCTTTGGAGGCAGTCAGTATCATCATGGGAACTGACCTCTGTATTGGGTTTTCTCATTTCTGTCTGCCTCTGTCATACAGATGAGCACTGCTGGGCTTATAGAAAGCAAATACGAGGTCACAGACGCAAACAGAAATCTGCTCTAAAAAATGGTATCTATAGTCCTGCTGAAGCCTGAGGGCAAGTTATTCAGAAAAGTTTTGTGATGAAAGCATTGCTGTATTTGCACAGCCAATTTGAGACAGACCAATTTTCATATAAAAACAGCTCTTATTTTTAGGAATTCCTTGGAATTTGTCCTTCCAAAAGAAAATTAAGTCTCTGTACAGCATGTCAGGTTGGACATTTCAAAACTGAGACTCTCTAGAATTGCTGGTCACTTCTGAAATACGTCTATAGATAATTTAGTGCTGGTGTGGTAGAAGTCAGTACTGTACATGGCCAGATCCAAAGCAAAGAACGGTGACACATTAGAGAACTTGCTTTGTGCAACTGAGGCTTACTGAACAGACTGCAGTTATTATAGCTAACACACAAAATCTGCACCTGAAGGTTATATATATACAGACAAATATAAAGTGAAAATAAAATGAACCTGACCTTTTCTTTCTGTATATCATCTGGCAGCTTGAAGCCTTTGGCAGCTATAAAAGCCCAGCTTGACCTGAACTTCATATTCCATATTTCTTTACTTCCCAGCTCTTCTACTAATTTTTTGGCATCATTTTTTAACCTAGGAAAATGTAGTGAAAAGAAATTGTTAATTCAGGACATGAAAAATGCTGAAAAAGAACACAGCTGATTCATGCTTTACATTAGTAAGTCAGCAGAAGCAAAAATGACAAGTTTAAAAAAATCCTGAGAGCTGTCTTAGTAGCATGCTATTACAACTCACAGAGCGAAATTATTTTAATTCCTCCTCTTTATGTTCCTGATGTTAATACAACCTGTTTGTAACAGGATACCAGAAAGAAAACTGTATCTCAAATATTATTTGATGTTTCAGTCCTTCTGGAATGAGGACAAGGGCATCAAATGTTTATCAATCAAATGATTACGTCTTTCCCTATACAATTCAACTAAAAAACCCCTATGATTCAAAAGCACTTGAAGAATCAGGTTAAGATGTAAGAAGGAATGCAGACTAGAATCATTATAATTGAGGGTGTGGATACCTTCTTAATAGAAGGTTGTGGCCCACAAGTAACAGCAGTGCTCTTTATGAGGACAACTGGTGTTTTTAAACAAATATAACACTATCTACCTATCTTTGGAAGTGTCAACATACATGACATGGGCAAGTACTGAATGGACATGGAATCAAAACCTTTTGGGCAGGAAATGAGAGAATAACCCTGACTAAAGAGTGAAATTCACCATTCTTTTACACTGTTAGGCAATAGTGATTTTTAAAGCTATTCACTTTGCTATTCCTCAGCCTGTCACGAGTAACTTGCTTACCGGGCATTTCCATCATCATGAGTCACCATCAAAAGGAGGGACCCTTCTGGTGCATTTTTAATGAAAGTCATCATCTCTCCTGAGTGGTCTGTTGAATCAATTACACACCGATTATTCATTACACGCATTATCACATTCCACCTACTTTCAACTTGGTTTCAATTTTTGGCCTTGTTTATTCAAAATGAGACCTTATTAGGTAATTTTTCTGTTTACAGGCACAGGCTTTATTCCTGAAAGGTGCAGAGAACTGCTAGCTCTCACTGAAGGCTAGGAGATCATGGATTGATCTGCATTTTCCAGTAATAAACAAAGACACTTCTGAACTTCTACAAAAGCCATTTAGGCCCAGGGTAAGTATATAGATGGTTTCGCATGTTTATGTCACACAATATTATACATGAAAGCAAAGCATGGAATAGCTCAGGAGAAGTCACTGGCTTCCTACTTCCCTGCTAACTGCAGTGCTGAGTTACCCATGCCACTGTCCACCCACTTCCATTAAGTGGCAGCCTATTTGCAACACTAAGCTATTTATTGGTTTTGCAATTGCTAAACATACAGAAGATACTTGTTTTCCATACAAAAAAAATGTAACAGGCACCCTGGAGACATTACAGTCTACATACTGTATACAAAACTGTAGCCCCATGATTAGTCCCAATGTGATTTCTATTCATGCACGTAAGGTCACAAGCATTCTTAATTGGTCAGAGAATCAGCTTCCAGTGTCTCATAGCATTCTGTTTCTCCTTACTAATAGGTAAGGAAACTGTTATCATTCAAAGTCTGGAAAACGTGTTAAAAGCTATTCTTAAAGCAGATCATCTTTCTAGCTGCATGGAAGGATGTTAAGAAACTGACTGGCATATCTCCTATGATGATTTTACAACTAAAATACAACAAAATATGCCAGGAAAAGGAATTTTGCTGAGTGAAGTATCTGAATGTGGCACCTGGTTAAGTGCTATTCCTACCAGACTGAATTAATGGAGAAAAAAGAAAGACAATTAAAAAATGGCAATTTGACAATTAAAAAAAAAAAAAAAAGCAGCAAGACAATGGAAAAAAAAAAAAAAAAAAAAAGACAATTAACTATCTCAAACCAGCAAGAAAAATTCAGCTTTTCAGGGAAAATTTGTCATCAGATCTGGCCAGAGCATATTTTATGAAGACAACAGCTGTTTGTTTCTAGTTGATCCTTGTTGATAATACAATCATAGTCATTTGAAAGTGCAGGATAATTATATAAGTAATTTCTTAACATGGAAACACTAATAAAAGTTCTATTGTACTCTTTTCCCTACCTCCTTCCCACATGTCAAAAAATTTTGCCGATGTAAATTTTCCTGTTTTATCTGTAATTTTAAAAAAAGAGTTGTGTAAACATAAGCAAAAATTATTAAATTAAATCAGTATATACAGCTTCTTCTGCTAAAGCTAGGCATCTCTAATTTTGTGTATTATTTGGCTTCTGAATTTTCTTTTGTTTACATTTTTTAATTGGAAGGAATATGGAATAATGTAAATTTAAGATTTGGGGAGAATATTTTGTTTCATGCACTCTCTGAATCATCAAATGTGACTAAAACATTTTTATTACTTTTTATTTTAAGGAAGGAATCCGGTTTATTGTATATTTGCATATTTTTATATCTAGATATACTATAGTAGGTCACAATCATAAATAGGAAAATGGGTTAAGCCTAAGACTATTTGGATGAGCTTAATAGTATTCTGTGCAGTGTTTCAGATGTGCAGGCTTTCGTACCATTTGAATCCCAGTGGACAGAAACTCAACACTCATCATTACTGTATCAGAAATGGGGCATGCAAGCAATTAATCATTCCAAAACATTTTGGTCAATATCGATCATTAATTATGCTGCTGCTTAGATAGCTGTTTAAACAAGACATGTACAGTTGGAAATACTTTTAAAACTTCTAAATCCATGCCAACTGAGTTAATTGATTTTCATTGTCCAAGACCCACATCCCTGCTACACGACAGGGTCTTTTCCATTTAGAGTATATCAGCTCATTTCCAGTGAGAAGACCTAGCAGTTCCTGATTAATTTCTGGCTTATCTTTGATCCATATACGGTAAAATCATGAAGGCAAATACTTCTGAACATAGGATTCTAAATGGCAGGTTTATCATGTTGATGAGGGGGAAAGATGACAAAAAACCCTCAGTGGTGAAACAGCATTCTAGAACTGGGCTTCTGAGCAGAGATCACAAATAAATGGAAAAGGCTGTAGACAGAACTGCAGAAATCCACAAAATTCTTTCTTTCTCCCTCTGTGCTGTTAGCTTGGGCTTAATAGTTCCGTCTTCCCTCTTAGAAAAGGCCATACTCATTCAGAGAAGAAAAAGTTATAATTGTGGAATAAAGTACAAGTGTGACGCCATAGGAAATTTATTGAGCACAGTCATTAGTTTGACTGATCTAACTAGAGGACGTGTAGAAAATATCTCTCACTATAAATTGGTTCAAGATAATGAACAGATTTACCTGCAGGTGGAGACTAAAGTGTATCTAAAATGACTATACGTGTGATTAAGGAAGTGACTGTTCAAAAATGTGCAAAATTTGATATATCACTTCTTTTTCCTCATTAATATCTGGTGCAAAGACAATGCTAGTTTCTTACTCCTATTTGCTATACCTTGCTTATGCAGTCAGGATGAGTATTTGCCCTCTTATTGTACAGCGCTGTGCTGAAAACTCATTCTTAACTGTTTACCTATTATAACCAGTAAAGTTTTATGATTCCTTATTGGGAAAAAAAAATGCAGTAGTTAACTGGGAAAAAAAAAATTGGAACAGATTCCTGTCTATGTTAATTTAACCCAGTGACTTCAATAAAATCCTGCAAGTTTAGACAAGGTCAAGATCTTGCTTAGCAATACTGTGGCAAAAAAACCTGGAACATAAGTGTTTTGTGATCAAAGCCAACTTGACTGTGCATCTGAACTCCCTCTCCTCCTCTCCTCCACAACATTTAGGCATTCATTTCTCTCAGGGTCCATTATGGAACACACTGCACTTCATCACCATTCCCATTCTAAATTAAAATGGTGCCTCCAGATCTGGAATAAACTATACCTCCTGCTTTCCAATAGGTCCTACTATAAGCAAAGACATATGATGGCAGTTCAATATTAATCAAGTTTTGAGTTTGTCTTTCTGTCCACTGACCAAGCCTGGAAAAGGAATTTGTACCTTGGTTGTACCTTGGGGCAGAACTGCAATTCTCAGTTACTGCTTGTCCCTTATCAGTGGAGCAATAGATACCTTTTATCAAGGACTGAACCTGAAAGTTGAGTTTTACTTCTGGAGATCATGTGTATTTTTGCTATGTTACATAAGCAGCAGTTCTTTTATCTAATAGAATACACATATACCACTTCTATGTACACATTTTCTGTTTTCTTATACTGACTATGAATATGTTTCTTTGGTTTATCCAGAAGACCATTTATCTCAAACACAGATTTTTCTTATATTTAACATAAATCAAGTTTGCAATTTTTTCATTTCTCTTTCCTTCCATACTGCCTAGTAAAAAAACCCCAATCCCTTCAAGAACCTTTCCAAATTATTGCAGTACACAAAAGTACGTATCCCTCTAACATTTTTTCTCTTACTTACAATTCACAATGGCAATGTTTATACCTCTTCCAACATTACCCTTCTCTTCGCTTATAAGCCTGGAATCAAAATAAATGTAGTATCAGTAGAATATATCTGTCCAGAAGCTCTGATCCAAAGTCGTATTTACCAATGCTAAGACACTTTCTGATGTTCCCGTTTTCTTCAGTTATTTAATTCAAGACTTTGTAGTAAACAAGAGCTATGGTTTAAAGATCTTGCACTTTGTATCAGTCAGTTTCCTTCAACGATGCACAATGAGTCTTTCAAAATGAGCCAGATCAAGAAAGTACTTCACACAAATGCAGCCAGAAAGATAAAGCAGAAAGAAACCCAAGATAAAATGGGGTTTTGTGGCACTGTTCTGTGTGGACTATATCTACACAAAAGATCATTGCAATGCTTTGAAGTCACTCTACCTGTCCAGCTTGAAAAGCCATGAAAGAACCTGACTTTCAGAAGGTGTTGACCATTCAACATGTTGTAAACTGACTATCCTGCACCAAGAAAATTAAAGTTCGTACTTGAAACTAAGAGTTGAATGCATCTTATGTAGAGGAACAAAGAAAATAACTTGAGATTAGGTACTTAAAAAAACAAAAAGGGAAAAAAAGATTTATATACTGTCAGATATATTCTGACATTTATCACCAGAGTAAGAGCCCCCTGGTAAGAGCTTGCTGCTGCTGAATCAAAATGAAACACCCTTCTTCACACTGCAAAACACTTGCTTAGATTTAAAGTTAGACTGGTACTCACAGCTCATCCTCAAAACAAATTTTAGCCAGCTTTCCTTTGCCACCACCACTAAGAATTCGATAGGCGTAGTTCCCAGGTGAGCAGGGAGACCAGTGATCACACTTTTGCCTTTTTGGTACTGGGGCTGCAACAACAAAGATGAGAAATCGTTTTTTTGGATGCTGCATAAACAATTTCTACATGGAAAGAATCCCTTAATGTCATCATGCTAAGCTCAAACATACATACACAGAAGCCAATCTTGCCAGTTTTCCAGTATCGTGGCAACATTTATCACAGACTTGCCTGGGCTTTAAGTTATCATTGACTTTCAAGCAGCTGCTGGGACCAAGAGCAACCTGATCTAGGGAAAAATGCCCTATATATCATTATATGATTTAAATATAGAGTAATTATTTTGTGTAATTTCATGTAACAGGAAACAAGGACTAGAGGGGTGAAGGATTGTTACCAATAGGTTGAAGTTAATAGCTAACATTCCCATTTTAAGCTTTTTTCACATGATAACATAGAAATAGAATGAGAAAAATGTACACATTAAGCCACCCTGTGGAAAGAAATAATGAGAATTTAATCCCAAAGTCTGGTCAGTGATTCAACAATTTACCATAACTGTAAAATACATGTTACAGGACCAAAGCTGCAGATTTATCCTTATATGCCAGCAAACAAATAAGGTTTTCTTGTGTTGCTATTCAATTAATTATATTTGCATACTGGCAAATATAGGCTGACATTGTGCTTCTTCAAAGATAGTGTCTAAAAAATACTTCAGACTTGCACTAATTAACTTTACACAGCCAACTTAATTCTTACAATAGCACATACCAAATCATTTATTAGCTAACAACCCATTTGTCACTTAGTATGTAAATAGACAATGTTAGACATAATATAAGGAAAAAAAAAAGAAATTCAACTACATACCCCTCAGCACTGTTTTTTTTCCAATGTCTTGAAGATTAGCAATAGATGCTGCTATTGTGTCTTCGGGTACAAGAACAGCAAATATGTATCCCACGTACCAAGCAGCCAACGATGCCAACAGAAGCCCTGTTAATTTCACAAGATCTGCCAAGGGAAAGAAAAGAAAAAAAAAAAAAAAAAAAAAAAAAAAAAGAAAACCAGAGAGACATAAAGATATTTTCATAGTAACATACAAAATCTTGTATTTTCATTGGCATCACCACACAAACTGGCTACTTTATTTCTGGTATACTGTGTTAACCACAGCCTTCAGATATGTGGCAATACATTATTTGTTACATTCCCATCTCTGACAATCCCTTTTGTTTCTAAAACTTGATCTTCAAGCAGAAAACTACCCCCAAGACTCCCCTCAATCCTCACCCATAATACCCCAAAGAAATATGAAGTTCAACTTAATCCTACTAGGATTTTTACTCTGAAAAGTAAGTACCAAATACTACATATGACTATACAGGTAACATGCAGTTACTATTGATTTTCTGTGGTACGCAAGCACTACAGGAATAGTTTAAAACACTGACCATATAGGGAACTACCTCTGTCCACCCTTTTGACATGCTGGGTAAAAATAATTTAGGAAGGCCCAAATAATCTCATTCACACAGTGAGCTCTGAGTGACTGTTTCACCGTTTCTCAGTTATATCACAGCCTCCATGGACTGTATGAGCAGCACATCTACACACTGTGAAAACAACAGGATTCACAATATTCCTGACTATGAAGAAATAGAAATAAATTCCATATTGGATATGCCCTCCTGCACATCACCAGAAATGCTAACATGCATTCCTGATCTAGAAGAAATGCACAACCTAATTTATGATGCTAAACAAGGAGAGAGCACACTGCAATTGTGAAACACAGATGTTCTGATGTCATGAGATACTTCCTGATCTGTAAAGAAACATGTCTTTGAACATAATGGTTCGTTAAAGTGAAAATGGAAAATTTTTAGTTCATAGTCCTGAAAATCAAGTACAACAGAACCAATGTCCAAAAATATCTAGTAAGTTCACTTTCCAACCTGCTAGAAAATACTATTATCTAGCCTAAATCTTCCTTATAACAGTTTACACTCAGGAAGATACTCCTTTCCTTTTCGGAACTGCCTTTTATAAATATTAAGATTTCTGCCCTACCCCTTCTCTTGAATAAGCCCAAATTGTTCACTTGTTCTCCTCAAGTCCTGTTTTGCAGGTCCTACTGCTCTCCTGTGAATTCTGCCCCATTGATCTTTGTCTTTTACTGCAGAATGGACACACTAGTCCAACACACACATTCTGGAGGCTCTACTTCTGGCTATTCATGCCAGAAGGAAGTTTGATTTTTTTTTCCATAAGAGTAGACTTTGTTGACTCAGGTTCTATTTGTAATCCACCATAAAGACCAGTTCTTTTTGCCTGAAAGTATTTTACCTCTCTAGCTACTCCCTATCCTGTATCGGTGCATGTGGTTATTTCTTCATTCTACCTAGCTTAAAAAATAACAGAACCTAACAGAACACTGCAGAAAATGCCGACTGGTAAAGCTAACACTGAACAGTACTATCACCTAAATTCCGCATTCTTTGCAATAGCAACAGAAGTAGTAAGTGGTCCTCTCTGATCCAGTCATCCTTCACAAATGAATCACAGCTGTACTCCAGCCCTTGAACCTCAGTGAGGAAGAATGCAGATCATTATGAACATTGACGGTTCTTCTGTAAATAGTCCCAGTTTCTCATTTCTTGCATCAGAAAAAAGGAAAAGGAAAAAAAAAAAAAAAAAAAAGAGAGAGGACAGTAAACCCTTTTAAGATACTGATCTGAGCTCTTAAACTGTTCTGTGTCATCGTATTTAAGAGTCATAAGTGTGTGCATTTGTGTGACTGTAAGGAAGATACTGTGAGAAACACTATTTTCATCAAAGGATTAAGATTGAGAAAGTAATACAGTGAATCTTCAGAGATACAGATTTCCCAATCATTGTCTCAGTCTAAGAGAATCTGTCTCACTCTACCACTGGTAGTGGTGCAAACCTGCACTAAAATAATACTAAAAATTACTCCAACATTTAATTTATACTGTGAATGTGAACAGTTGACAAAATTCACATGCACAAGGAAGGAAGCTGCAGGAACCAAGCAGAATGAAACTCACTCGCTTTTTCTCTTTCTGAATATTAAAAAAAAAAATCAGATTTATACTCAAAATATATTTCATTTGTAAAGGAGACCAAGTCACAGGTTTCAATGACAAAACCCAGGCAGTGAAAACTACAACAAGCTTATTTAAAGATTTCACTGATTATTTTTTCATGGGGTGAGGTGCATCATAAATACCTATGAGACCATCAGTCAGGTTTTGTTTTGCCCTTTTTGTTAGCTTAGCAGGTTTGTTTTTACAATAATTTGTTTTTCAGCAAAACTATGGAGCAACTGTGTTGCAAACCAGGCTCAATAGTGAAGCATTTTGCCCAAGTAGACTGGAAAGTACACAGTGTCTAACTTCCGCTATTATACTCCGTATTTAAACCTCAAGCTTCTTAAATATTTCTCAAACGTGCCTTTTAAAGTTTAAGGAATACATTTACCAACTCTCCTGCACACTTTGTACTTGGTTCTCAAAACTGTCAGAAAGTATTTTCACTGTCAACCAACTTCTGGTTTGTTTTCTTGGATTCAGAAGGCACTGGTGTACTGCATTGATTTTACCTGCTGGATCCACCTGGATCTCTTAGGTTTACTGAGAATACATATCCTGCGCACGTATACTCTTTTTGCGTACCTGCACAGACACGCATAAAACCCTACACAATAGCAGCTAAGCCATAAGCTCAGACAAACCCAAGATAGTTAAGATTGCTTAAGATTTGCTATCCACAGCAGTTAGGAGTTTAAAAACGCAAACGAAAGTCAGACTGTGCTTTTGCTGGTTTTAGAGGCTGTGGCTCCTCAGCGCACTGCTTGGCTCAGCACCAAGGGGACGGACGGTGAGGGGACGGTGCGGGGGACGGCGAGGGGACGGCATGCCGCGGAGGTTCTTGCCGAGCTCAGGCAGGTGGCACAAACCTCCCTTACTCCGCTTCTGCCACGGAGAGGTACTTGCCCAGAGGTACTCAGCAATACTCACGGTGCCAGACAAAGAGGGCAGAGAGGAGCAGGGAGGGAGAAACTGTGCGGACAGTCCGGATGGCAGTGTGGCAGGACGCGTAAGACAGCAAAGCAAAGCAGACGATCAGCAATCCCACTTTACAGCAACTCCCCATTTCCCTTCTCCCTCAGGTGCTCGCCTGCCCCTTGGCAGACACTAAAGCGCTAAGTGTAAGCACAACTTTTTTTTTTTTTTTTTTTTCGGTGCTTAGCTGACTTAAAATTCCCTCGCTACCACACCTCGCTAACACCCACCCACCCGTACGCATCAGGACTTTAACGGGGCGGGGGTAAGAAAAAGAATACATCGAGGACTCGAGCTTAAATTACTCTAACCTAAAAAACTGGGTGTCGATCCGTTCTCAGGTCTCGGCCGGGGCGCAGCGGCGAGGCCGGGCACAGGCCCCTCTCGCCCCGGGCCGGAGGCTCGGCCCCCGCTCGCCTCAGGCGACGCCGCCGCGACCAGCCCTCCCTGCCCCTTCCCCGCGGCTCGCGGGGCCGCGGCGGGCGCCCGCCCGGGGAGCGGCCCCGGGGCACCCACCTGAGGAGGGCGCAAGGCGGGAGCGGGGCGGCCGCTGCCCGGCCGGGCTCAGCGGGCGGCGGCACCGGCGCCCTCCCCGCTCGGCGGGGCTGCTACTCACATTGCCGGTTCAGCCACATTATTGAGGGCGGGGGCGGGCTGTCCTTCTCCTCCTCCTCGTCCCTCTCCTCTTCAGGGGTCCGTCCCTCTTTCCCGCCTCGTCCTGCGGCCAGCGGGACGGCGCGGGAAGGGGAGCGGCCGCCTGTCCGCGCCGCGCCGCACCGCCCCGGCCGAGCCCCGCACCCCGCTGCCCTGGCCGATTTCCTCTGCCGGGGAGGCCGCGGAGGAGGGCGCGGGGCGGCTGCGTGGCCCTGCCGCCGCTGTCGCCCGGGGGGAGCCGCGGGGCAGCTGAGGGGAGCGGAGCTGGGGACGGGGCACGGCCACGGCGGCGCGACTCCCCCTCTGGCCTTGCCCTCCGCTGCGCGGTTTGCAGGTGTCGGGCAGGACCGGGCGGCATCACGTCTTGGCAAAGGCGGTGAAGGAAGGGCCTGGCGCTCGCAACGGCCGCGGCTGCTCTGGGGGAGGAGAGGACGTGTGGCATTGGGAGAAGGAGGACTCAGCCGCCAAACCAGGCCCTGTCTGAGCCAAGGAGATGCAGCAGTAGACGCCACCTAAAAACTCAAACAGAAGGGGTAGTGCTAAAAGTTGTCTTCTGCAGAAAGAAACCAGCTGGCTAGCGGGATCAAAAGGAAGGCTCACATGCCATCTGTCAGCCCCTTCGAAAAGCTGTTTTCCTCCAAATCTCAAAATGAACCAGTTATTTTTAAGTCTGTTGAACCCAACCCAGACAGCAAGGAAGCAAGGGCCTTTTCCTGGTGCCAGACAGAGTCTGCCTGGTGTTTTAGCTGTTGAGGTCACAGGGCAGGGCCCCACCGGAGCCCCCTCCTCCTTCTTTACCCACCACCACAGGTCGGGGATGACACAAGTCCTACGGCGGGCACCAGCCCAACAGGCCAAGCCCTCTGGTCATCTTTTCTTGTGCTGGGCCCTGCCAGTGCTACAAGCAAGGTGTTGTGCACCCTTGCCTTGATGTTTTCTTCCTGGTGGGGTAGCTTGGTGAGTCCGCTGTTCCCATCACCTCACCAAAAACCCTGTCAGGGCTTGCACTCGGGGTGTGGGGCAGCAGCCCCCCCTTCTCTCCTGCTCCCCAGGCCACATGTAAGGAGCATGAAACTACAGCACAGTGCTGGCAGTGCACATTTTCTAGTCTGTGGCAGATAAGATGAGATAAAGGCATAGCCCATCAGGAGCCCCACATCACAGGCTTGCTTTTCTGTTTTTAAAATTTCCAGTGTCCAACATGCTCTGACTGATAGGTGTTTGCAGGCCTGTGTGGGTGCTGAGCCTCACCAGCACCAGTCAGCCCTGACCCTGAACCAGGGAAATTACAGCTCACATCAAGGACAGCTTCTAAGGACTGAAGTAGCCACTCAGACATATTCAGGAAACCAAGCTGAAGACCTTCAAGTTGGGAAAAACCCAACCAATGAAGCTGAGCAATTTTCAAAATGAAATCATTAAACTACATGGTTTTACTCTTAAAATCCTCTGATTTAGTTTCCCTTCAGTTTCTTCGTTCACTCTTCCTCTGATGGTTCACCAAATTATGTTCAGCAAACATGAACAAAATCCTGCAGGGGGGGTAGATGCAGGATTGAAGCTAGACTGGAGCTTTTGTCTTCCTCCCAAGACACATCTGAACGATATAAATGTTTCCAGTCCCTGAAGAAGAGGTGTTTCTTGTCCTTGTCTGTGATTGGGATATTGTAGTATCCTATAAATTGCAGGTAAAACCTGAGAGAGTAATTGCTGCTGGTTATTTTCAAATGTACTGGAGCTTGCAAATGAAAAGCAACAGCCAATAAAATCTAGGTGTGCAAATAATAAAGCGGTAGCATGGGACAAATAAACTTAAGTGAAAAGCATAGGACAAAAAGGAAAAGTAGTTAGTAGTAGGCAAGAGAAAGTCGAGGGCAACACTGTTCTGGGTTACTCTTCCAAATATGCAATTATTTCTGCAGGAACTGTTATTCTGTAAGATGGCACATCAGAAGATTATGTCTCTGATAATAAATGATTAAAACTATTGAAGAGTACATTCCTAGCCTTTAAAGTAAAAATAACGTGCCTTTAAACTCCAAATACTACAGTTTGTGGTAGCCAAATGAAAAATTATTCAACTTTTACTAAAGCAAGGAAAATTAACTAGGACTTAGGATAATTTAATTTTGAAATAAATTTATTGTATGAGCATTGGTGGGTCACAGACTCCATGGTTAAAAATTTGAATCCCCTAAGAATTTTGTCACCACCTCAACACCTTATTGTGAAAAAACCGCATGATTAATGATCAGTGTCTATTGGATAACTGTCAATATACTGGCTTTTACCCACAAGAAAAGTGTGGCATGTTACTTAGTTTTCATTACTGCCTAAGCTACATTGAAATACACCTAGGTGTTTGCTACAAAACCAAGCAACACAATAACTGGTTTGGTCTCTCGCTGAGGGGATTTTAAATACCAAAGGGCTGGAAAATTTAAAATTTTTTACTTTAGGTATCTCAGTTTTGTGTCTGCAAAAGAAACGCAATGCTGTTCTTTCTTCAGTAATTAATCAAAGATGTGGGATGCAGAACACTCTTGAAGTATCATTTCTGTTCTTATTCTGTAACCATTCATCCTGTAATTTGAAAGCTTAGAGAAGAACTTTTCAAAACATTAATCTTCACTCTCAATGCTTGTGAGGCTGTAAGACCCTTTGGTGATAAACAGCGCAGGAAATCTACTCAGGAAACAAATTACTCTTGCAGACACCAAATGGAACAAGTGAACGTACATACAGAGGGTTTATGTGTTAGTCTTGTCTTATCATCACAAAAGCCACAGTCTGTAGAGAAAGTTTATGGGCAGTTGCCAACACTGTAAAATTACAACACAGCAAGTTCCTGCTTGCCCTTTAAGCTGCTGTACCTCCAGAGGTATTTTCTGCATCCACTCTACTTGGCTAACAAATTAGCAAAGTGTCATTCCAGTCCTTGTAGCTATTTAATTTACATGTTTTCTGCTCATTCACAAATGGCCAAAAACATATGTTTAATCCTGCTAGGATGAGTTAAAGAATTTAGTGATTTAAAATGGAGGCAGAGTTTGTAAGGAGGAGAAAGAATACTGTATCAAATCTTTTCTTGTAGGGGTCACAAGGACTTCGAGAGCTACTAGAAACACTAGATCACCTACATAAAATACGCAACTGATGTTTAAGTTAACTAATTTTACCTAAGACTTGGGACAGATAAGAACATACACATGGACAATAGGTGTGGCAATGTGGAAGAGCAGTTCTTTAAGCTGCTGTAACTCAGCCATGCTTCACTGTGTGCCTGTGCCCATAATTTAGGTAGAACCTCAACATCCTGAATCATGGTAGCATAGAGAGTAATGTGGAGAAATAGGGATTTAAATGTGTATCTTAATACAATGATTTTTTTTTTTTTCTGGTATACCTTGAACAGCTTTATGAAAGCCAGGAGCAAATACTTAGAACAAGATGACAGCTTTCAGATACTTCTTTTGTGGATATATTAAAGTCTTAACATCTTCTTCCCAGAGATGCAAAAATTAATCATATAACAAAAGGCAAAAAGCAAGCATTTATTACTTTCAGTTGATAAACTAGAAAACCTGTAAAGCTAGTGAGTCTAGCTCCCAGGACTTTGCTGGTCTGTGTAACAACACAAAAGTGGGGCATATTTGTGTGTTGTTCTTATGCTTTGTTAATCCAGAGACACACAAGGAAAATACATTAAATTGCACTTCATCCAGATAGAAGATGTTGACTGGCAAAGTTTTCTCAGTATTAGCAGCAATAACTTAATACATTATGGGCCCAAATCTAGTCATCTTTAATATATAGTGGCACAAACTTTTCAGAAGAGGAAAATGAGAAGGGCAAAATGAGAGGGAGAGGAAAATCCTTCTTTAAATGCTGGATGCTTTGATATGGCTTTGCACAATCCTAGAGGATCTCTGTTTGTTTTCTTGAAATGCTGCTGTCAGCAGTCATTAGGCCAACAGGTCCCTATTAACACGGACCCTGTGCAATCCCACATGGTCTACAGCCAAGTCTGGATGTAAACAGTTCTGCAAGCCCACTCAGTCGACTAGCGATTTACCAGTGGGAGCTGGATTGCCAGAGGTCCCTGCTATCAGCAATCCCAAATCACTTGTAGCTTGATGACGTCCTGGAGTTCTTCCCTGATCCATTCTGTCAGTACCAGGTTTCCCAGCAGGGACCCAGGCTGATGCCACCGTGATGGGCTCAGGTCACCCAAAAGTGATGCTGGAGTTCTAAAAGAGCAAAAAAACATAATAAATCCACTTCTTTTGAAGCCCAATCCACATGCACAGTGAGAGAGCTGGATTTCTTTCACACCTGTCTTCAAGGAGAGGGGGAAGAGAGAAAAAAGGGTATCACCTTACCTATGGACTGGGATGGCAATGGACACGGCCAGTCACAGTGGGTTGATATTTCAAGACTGTGGGAAAAAGGTGGGTCTAAGTTAGTCAATGAAAGGGGATATATGCGCAAACCAGAAGACTGTAAAAATACATCAGCAGTTAAAAATCAGTATAAAACACCAGCCTAGAGAATGTTGAAGATGTACAACAATAACAAAATCTCATATAGTAAAAATACAGAAAGCTGAAGTTGATGTTAAGCTTATGGTTAAAAAAAAATAGCCAAAGGAGGACTTGATAGTGTTCCTATGCATAGTACTTCAGAACAGTGCTGAGTACATGAAAAGACAGAAGTTGAAGAACTACAACACCTTGTTTATTAATAAAAAGTAGTTTTACCTAGCTAACAACTGTAAAAATCCAATATGCTAATATTTGTGTATACACTGGCAACATAGATTCTTGTAGTCTTTACAATAAACTGTATTAGGAAATGCTATTGAATTTCCTACGAAAACAAATAATGAGTCAAGGTATAGGCAGATGTTACTTGTAAGCCTCTAGAAGGAAAGAAATAAAAACAAAACCAAAACCATTTATTTTTTAAAAATAATTTGTTTTGGTGCAGAAAGGGGAGGACAGTTAATGTTTACCGTTTAAGTGGCCATCACAATTACACGTCTTGAAAAATTACATTAAACACTTGAATTATAAACCTTTACTCATTTGTCTACACTGCGCTGTCATTACTTAAAGAATATGGGTTTTTTTTGGCAAATTCTTACTTTTACATTTCATACACAAACTTAAAATGTGTTTTGTCTAGATAGGCCAGATTTAACAGGGAAAGTTGAGCAAAAGAAGTGTGAATGGACAGTTTTACAGTTTTGGATTCAATAAGCCTGAAGCACAGAGAGTGCTCTGAAGATGATGGCAATTTCAAAAGCATAAGAGAAGTGTAAGCACAAGAAAAAAAAAATGAGAACTTGCACAGTACCCCTGTGAGCAGAGCTATGTAATAATAGGTAGGCCTCAGTGAGTATCAGGACAGTAGTAAGCAAAACCAGCCATCTTACTAAAGTGTGAAAAAATCCATCATATTAAACAGTTGGCGCTATTCTGCCATGCTTGACCATTCCCCCAAATTTATCAACGTGCATAATACACCATGCTACTTTTAAAGATAAAAGCTCAGGGTTTAAAAATAATGGACTTTTTAAAAGAGGCTTTTAGGGGGAGGGAAGAGGGCTATTACTAAATGATCAGGAGACCCCAATCTAAGGACCTTTTTAGGTAGGCTATTTTAAAAAGAGAAAAAATTAAAGTACTTTTAATAGAATTCAAGCAAGACAACAGAATTTGCTGTGAAAGGGCTCAAAACTCTCCTATTTGAAAAACAAACCATGTGCGCCACCTCCTGGGTTACCAAACACAGAGCACAATAACCACCCTTCCGGCTCTCCCAAGGTAGGAAACCAGCATTCCCAGGGAGTCCGGCTGTTTTAGGGACAGGGACATTCAGTTTCTATGACTTCTTCATTTATAGTTTAGGGAAGTAGACAGCAACAGTCTGAAATATTACTTGAATCCATTCCAGATGATCAGAAGCTTAATCTTCTCAAGTTAATGTTTTCTGTGCCCAATTTCTGTCCAATACTGAAGTGAACCAATGAAAAGTTGAAGCAAGAACATCTCAGTTACTTGGGCATAATCAGGAAAGATCACTTTGAAGCTAAACTTGCCTGTCTGCTCCCCGCCCTGCAAGGTTCAGATGAGATCTAAAGCAGTTCTGCTATCTTTTCAGAGCTAAAGCCAGAGGTTAGAATTGAAAGTCACAAAGCACTATGAAGAATTTGGGTGGATGTAATTTATCAGCTTTGAAGTTAATCTTAATTTAAAAAGACACACAGAATATGTTGAAAGAATTATTTATTTTAAGCAGCATAAAATTTGATTTTTTTTACACAGTATTTATCTGAAAATGGCAAGACCTGAAAGTACAAAGTATCAATTTTTGAAAAATTCAGTAAGTGGGGTAGATATCCTAACATCACCTGAAGACTGAATTAAAAAGACTATACCCCTTTTTCCAAAGTTTTGATCTCATTTTCCTTTCAGTCAATGTTAAAAACATTTTCTATTAAAAAAAAAAAAAAATCAGGTGAAGAAATGCCTCTACAAGATGGAATCATTTCCTTAAAGGTGAAATCCTTTCCACACTTCCTAAATAATTATCAAGTAACAGTGGATGTAGTGGTGAAGTCTTAAAAGACTTCTGCATCTCCATATAAAACTTTCAATAAAAAATGTGAACTGCCTGTTTCAGATAAATCTTATTTAAACACTCAACTTTGTATAGTTTATGCACACACAGAGTATTGGCTAGCAAAGCAATTTTTTCCAGGACATATTGCAGTAATCCATGCCTTGGTGCTATCAAGAAATTGTCCGTTGTCTTTTCAGTACCACTTCAACATGACTTTCTTGAGTTCATTTTTTCCCCCAGAATTTTCCAACATGACTTTTGTGTCCATTTTTTCCCCAGAATTTTCCAAATGACAGCGATGTTGCAAATACGGCCATTTAAACATTCAGCTACATAATTCCTCCCTAACAACACAGGAATAAACATACCCTTCATAGGTTTGACATGGCTCTGTGAAAATTGCCCTCTTCAAAGAGGGATGTGATGAGAAAACGGTTACAAACAATGTAGTTTATTCAAGTATTTTGCCTAAGTACACATTGCAGGCTGAGTTGCTCAACTGGAAAAAGCAGAGGTGTCTCAGTCAGCAAGAACAGCCGACAAACTGTAAGGGTCCATTGCAGCTGGTGGTAGGACAAGACACGGCAAGGCCTTCAAGGAAGGGGCTGTCATCTGCTTAAGGAATGGCACTAACTCTCACAGCTCCTTGTGGTCCTCCTCTCCACCCCTGTATTTCATAAGGACAGAGAAAAAGGAGAATGTACAGGACCAGTGAGGAAGACCAAGTGGTTAAGTACTTCCAAGTGGGAAGTGAAAGAGGTCTAGGAAGTGTCATCAGATGTACAAAGGACTTCTTTGCACACAAATTCAGGGACCACTGACATAGATGAAGTTTTGGCTCTAATACTCCTCCTAATGCTAATGCAAGTATTTTCAACCTAGAGTTAATTTCTAAAGCCTTACAAACTACTTTAAAACAAGTCTGTGAATGGTCACAAAGAAAAATATCTTTTGTTAGAAGGCTTAATTTTTGATATAGAGGCTTTCAGCTTTTAGGAACTTTTTTTTTTGGTGGTGGGGGGGCTGGGGATGAGGGAGCCAGAAGCCGATCAGAAAAATGAGATTTACAACCAGTGAATTAGTAGGACGGCAGCTATACTAAAATACATTGATTTAAAGTGATTATCATTCATTAAAAAAAAAAGAGAGAACAGCTGTTGAGGGGTATTGCCTTTTAAATGCTGAAAATTACCTTCTGTGTTTTACTTTTTTGCTAGCTTAAAAGAAATTCTGCATGTGCCTTTGTAGTCTAATCTAAAATTCCCAATATTTAAAAAAATACCTGACCACAAAGATCCAGCCAAAGCCTAGATACAATGAAAAGGAAAAAAAAAAAAAAAAAAGCAAACACACAATATTCCTATATTACTACTGTACAGTCACTGATGTCAGCATGTTTTAAAATAACCTGTTTCGTTGCTTATAGACTATTGCTAGGGGTGAGACATAGCACTGTGCACTTTGTTATATGGAGAGGGGAATATTCAGTAACTGGCCAATGATTGTACCTAAAGATGATTGTGCCCCTTACTCACCTGTGAGTGGATAATGCCCAGTATCAGCAATAGGCACCTTAGAGCACACTGGCTTTCAAAAAATTGAGACAAGTGAACGCTTACCAAAGCAGCCAGGTGACTGACTGACTTTACACTCACAGCAGCTTGTCAGCAACTTCAGCTGCTCTCCCACCCTGCTCTACCAAGGAGCCTCAGCCTTGATCTGGAAGCCTGGTAGAAGACTCAATTATTTAGCATCTCCACATTTCACACCACCAGCTAGCTTCAGCCCATCACTCGTCATAGCCCCACTTGTCAGTTAGTGCAGGTTGTAGCAGTGGCTTTTGCAGTATGGATCCATCTCATCCAGGGGTTCAGCTGAAGCCAACAATTATATTTCAGATAATATTCCTGAGGAGCCATTTCCAGGACTCTGGATTACTCACAAGCCTGGCCTTATGTCTAATTAGGCCCCAGAAGCCAGGAAATCTGACTGGCTCAGAAGATTGCTCGTATCCCATTACCAATCTGTCTTTGCTTCTCTGAACAGCAGCAAGAACTTCAGCAGCCAGAAATGAACAATTTATCAATCCGAGAGTAAATTTTGACAGAAACTAATGTCTTGGTAAATTGTACAGACCTTTCTTAAAAGGATCAATCCACTATGCTCTTACAATTTTTAATGAAGTGAATGGTAGCTGACTTATTTCTCTTTCTATAATTTCCTCTACTTTCACCTCCACAGGTCATTTTACCAGCCCCCTTCATTGTGCAATTCATATTACTACTTACGTATATTAGGTCAATGACTAAGATCAGAATATGACAACGAACTAGCCTAGTTGTTGGAAACCTCTACAGAAATCAAAGAAGCTTTCAGCATCACAATCATTCTGGACTATCAGAAAGTTTAAAGACCACTTTCTCTTTATGAAAATATGCTGTGTTAAGCAACTCTCATAAGCCTTTTCATATTTAAAATGAAAAGGTTGGTATACAAATGGCTCGTCATTCCATGAAGCATTTCCAGCCGATACACAGCCAGTTAACTGGACAGGACACTCATAGGTTGACTTTATCTGATGAAGAGTTAACTGTTGTTAAGGAACTGATATGCTAGCAAGAGATACCAAACCCCATCTCTCCATTACTACCACTAGTTAACCTGCACAACGTCAAAGCTGAGAACTGGAATGGTACACTGCCTTGATATACTGTATTTAGGTTGATTCAACATACAAATCCTAAATGCAAGCTCTTTCACCTTAAAAACAGAACAATCCCCGCTACCTTCTTTTACAGAACCTGAAAAAAAAAGTATAGTAAAATACTTCATCTACTTTCTTCTGCATTTAAATTGAGTCAAAAAGCCCATGATAATATTTCTAAAACTTGTGAAGGCAGTGGGATAGAACTAACATATTCACATGCCTGAACTCAGGTTTAACTACTTGAACTCAAATCACACATCTTCAAGTCCCTAATGATCACACTGATAGCATCAATTATCTAAAAGGTTGCATCCAATGAAACTTGGCTTTCTGACATTTTCATGGTACATGATATTACATTCACCTTATGAGAACGCTAGTTCTGCAAAAAATATTGATGCGTGTACAATGAATGATTTGGAGTGCTGTGATTTGGAGCATCCTGTCTTCCATAATAAACACAGAATATTTTCCAGCACCAAAGCTCCAGTCTTTTGCCCCCTTTTTTTTAAGATACGGTTTAATCTTATATCTGAAGTTAGTTAACAGGAGCATAAAATGCCTCACAGCACTCCCCTTTAAAAAAAAAAAAAAACAAAAAAACCCACCACCACCAAAAAGCAGGAAAAAAGATCACCAGTTAGACACACTTGGTAACACTGTAGTCTGTCACTATTTCATCTTTCATAGAAAAATGCTCAAGAGCATTACTTTTCTTAATGTGCTATAGGCTAAAAATGAACCCTCAAGGGTTTCTATTGCTCTTCTTGTTACCAGAGCAACAAAGCAATACTCACCTGCATATCTGCCAGTGTAAGTATCAATTTACAAGCTGAGATGAAGTTTGTGCTGCTAGCAGATGTCGCTAACAGCATTTTTACTATAAGCCAAATTTTAGTGGCAAGGGATGCCATGAAAACTCAAGAATATATTACAATTTCATTTGTGCTACTTGATTATTGCTCTTGTAATTCAAGTGTTTCTATTAAAATGTCTTGACCAATGACATTCAAAGTGAAAAAGTAAAACTGAAAGGCTTTTATATGAAATCTAGCACACTAAAAAGACTTCGTCAGGCGGCTCGGAAGAAATCTCACATGTCATTAGAAAACATACTAGGAACCTTTCCCAATAAATTTCCTCCTGAAACTCTTGTGTGTTAAGGAGATAGGATGGGCTAGGGAGAGGGAAGCAGCTAAGAAATATTTTAAGAGCATACAAGTGTTAGTACTTCCTGAATTGAAAAAAGGCTCATTGTTTACTGCTGTATCAATCCAAACATTCATACTGTGTTTCTGTTTGAAATAGGTGACAGAAGCATTACTTATATTACCATACTGTAGAAGAAGGAATACAACTTTGAAATTATTTGTTATGTGTAAAACCAAACTCAGGAGGATGTTATGGAATTGAATCACAAAACTGGAAACATCACACTATCTTTTCAGAACAAAGTCTATTATTTTAAGAAAAACTCAAGGGAACTTCTTGTTATAACATGTACTTAAAAATCTAATTTTAAGGCATTAAGAAAGAGATGTATGGAAAATAGAATACTGAGAAAACACCTAAGCTCTATAGCTTCTTACATTCCTTATAATTCATCATTTTTCTCCTCTTAAAAACTAAGAGGCAGAGAAAGAAGGAGGCAAACTCAAAATTTCCTCCTATTTTGAACCCCTGCTTCCAAGAGAAATAATTTTCAGACATTGGGTCACAACACCAATTATTTTCCTCTATTCAGCCAAGCAACCTGAAAGTGCTAGAATTAAAAAAGAAAGAAAACCACAGGCACTTCCAGTTATGAAGTGAAATACACAAGTTAGCTTAAAAAAAAATCCAGCAGTGCTTTATTTTCACACACATTATGTGCACCTCTGTAAAAGCACCATTTCTGAAAAAAATATCTTTGCTTATTTCATGCAGAGTCAGATGCAGAGGCAGTGTGAATCAGAAAGCTATATGAAGGGATTATAGGCAGAAAATTTCTTAAGCAAGGGATTGGGAGATTCAGAGCTAAGCTTCCTTTTTTTTTTTTTTTTCCTCCTTTTTTCCCACACAGATTCACAAACTGTTCTGCTATCGAAATGCAAAGGAAATTTTTTTTTCCTTCTTCTTAAAAAAAAAAAAAAAAAAAAAAGGGGTAACTAATAGTTATCACTAGACTCCTCAAACTTGCATTGTTTATCTCTCAAATCCACTACGCCAGTGTTATGGAAAAGTGATAGAGGTCCTGCAACGCTCACTGACTAGATACAAGAAAAATTGCCCTATCTGAAAAGAAAATACCATGTTCTGACCTCAGCATTAAGATCTACGCTTGCACAATAGAGGTCTGGCCAAATATATTCTTCCCAGCTCTCTCTTACTGTTGTTTGCAGTCTTACCACATGTTTGTTTTCAGCCAGTCAGTACACAGACTTTTCATTTGATTGACACACCAGTGAAGCTAAACTAAATACCTCCAACTGCTGTTCAAGTTGAAAAACAAGCCAGCATTAAGACTTTCACTTCACAGTCTGTCCATGAAGACAGATATTTTTCCCTTGAACTTCTATGTTGCTGAGCTCAGCCAAAAAAAAAAAAAAGCGTTGTCTGTTTTATTTTTTTGTTTCCTTTTTGTTACATGTTCACTAGAAATACGAAAAGACGTGGCAGAACATGGACCTTAGCTTTATCATCTGTCCATATACAGGCAGACCAGCCTTTTCTAACTATCAGTCATCCTCAACTCAAAAAAACCCAACAAACCCCACAAAACCCATTAGAGGGAAAACTGAAAGAGTTTTTTTTGCACACCAAAGTGGAAATTCATTAAGTTTTATAAAATCCACTGCTTTGAAGCTAAGGAGTTGCATTTGGTTGTTCAGAGAGTCTTGTGCTTCAAGACCAGTTCTGAACCACATGCTTACCAGTGGTATCAACCTTGTAAATTAAGAGAGGTAGTATTGTTTTACACTAAGGCTGGACAAGTTTGTTTCCCAGTTTTCACCTCCTCAAACTATTTTGTAATGACACTTGGGAAGAATGACCCTCTCAATTGGCAGCAGTCATCTTGAGGATTAAGCATTTCTTCTTGACCTCAACTGCTTTTCTCTGCTGCTTAAGTCTGACCTTTCTCCCTCCCTCGCACCATAAGCAGTTTCAAAATGATCTGATGTAAACAGAAAGCAGTATTCATTTAATGTAATTAATAAGAAAGGTTACTAAGTTTTTTACCCCCTTTTTCTACAGTCAGGGATTGATTAGTTAGAAAATACTGACAGCTCCTTTTTTTTTGTGAAAGAGGGATGGACAATTTTGTTCAGACAGTGGAAGAACATCATGGTGTCATGGTGTGTTTTGTTCCTTTTTTTTTTTTCCTTCCTCTTTTTTTTTTTTTTCCCCCTCCCCTTTAAGAGAAGGTACTATTGAGAGCGTAAAGGCTCATTGTACTGCAGTAGTAAATCCAGTACCATAGCACTTAAGAGGTGGTTAACAGTGCTTTGGTTCAGAATCAGTGTTAGAAAATAAAGCTTAAAAAGTTATGATGCAGGATATTTGGCGGGATTTCAACAGCAATTTGTAATGCACATAGAAAGGACTGAGGCATTGGCTTCTTCCCCTTGGCAAAGTACTTTGTTCTTCATTCTAAGTCCCAGGTTTCATGATCAAGTTTCTCATTTCCATCGATGATGCACTAGAGAGGATTCATCATTGACTACGTCATTGTCACTGTAGCGATGCTGACACCGTGGTGGAATAAGCAGTAGAATGATCAGTACAAGGAGGATAATTCCACACAAGCTCATGAGAGCATAGGAGGCAATCCACAACACTGGTTCATGGAAAGAAACGCTAGAAACACAGTTGCTTGCAACGTCTGCTGTTGTGAAAGGGCCTTCAATCTCAGATACTGGAGAGCCATCAACTTCTGAGAAATTACAAAAAGAAAAACATTAAGTCTATAGACACCACTTAAAAGCACATAACAAAAGATCTAGCCTAAATACCTATATATCCCTTTCACTCCATCATCATATATCTCAGCATACTCATATTTTATTGTATTTCTCATTGTAATAAAAATGCTAGTATCCCATGTTTATAAAATGGGAATCTGAAGCATAAGCAGACCATGACACTGCCACATCTACACAGGCTGTCAATGAGATAATGGACATTTAAATCAGGTCTCCCACAGCCTAAGTGAAAGCCCAAGCCACTGAATCACCTTCTCTCTCTAGACTAACCTTTTAGAAGTGTCAATTTAACAAAGCTTAAAAATCCTACAACACCTACACTAGAGTAGGTCAGGGCCTGGGCAGTTTTTGTTTGTTTCTGGCATTTGCAACAACTGGAAGAGTACTTCTGATAATTCTTCTGTGTTTGCTACCTTCCAGGGTCTTAGGGAACAGCATGCAGGTTCACTAGCTTCACAGGTACCTTGAATGAGTTTATCCTAAACGCAAGGTGCAAGGTAGAAACCAGCACAGATAGTCTTTGTGAGTGGAGGTGAAAATTCAGAAGGAAGGGGAGGTGAGGCAGGAGGGCTGGGTGACAGCTGTCCAGAAGAGGGGAATGGTGGAGAGGAAGGTCAATGTCAGGAGTGAGGAGCTAGAACATGAAGGAGCAGTGCTGTTGGACAGGGAGGGAGAAGCTAACCAAGCAGGATGAAAAATGGAGATGACAAATCTAAGGCAAGAAGCATGAAGGGGTGCCTTGGCAGCTCTGCTTTCGAACAGCCATCCATCTCGGCATCATCACAGATTGTGTGACTTGTTCCACTGCCATCACAAACCCCTACTTGTTAAACCAGTATATGCTAAAAAGGGTTATGCTGCCCATGGTTGTCACAGTAACCGTGGCAAGAGCAGCAAAGTTCCCCTGAGTTGTGGACAGGGCTGCATGTATTGTAAAGGCAGAGCAAGTGAGTTGCCTAGGGCAACAAAATATTCAGAGTATTTTGTATCTGCAGGCACGTGGCCGGGGAAGGATGGATAACTTTTAGCTTGCTTGGGGCAACTAGGACCCTGCAGTTAAAATGCACAGACAGTACTAACAAGTCTTCCAAACAATTGTAATGCACTTCTCTAGTCAGATACTTCAAGACATATTTGTGTATTTCTTATAAAGGCCTCAGTTTTAAGCTTCCTGCTTAATTTATTGTTCATTTTATATACAGACACACATTTGCCAAATTGTAAGTGACCCTGCCTACTGAAAACAGTTTCTCTTACACGTCTTAGACATGACTCCTGAAAGCATGTTTAAAGAGATTAGCATAAAATACCCTTTGGAAAGAAGAGGGTAGCCTGGGTTTTGGTTAAACCATGACAAGCAGGAAGGTGGCCTTTACGGTTCTTTGTGGAGAAACAAATCCAGAATAAGTGGGCTGTTTATCTGCAATTTACCAGGAGAGATTTTAATTGGTATTCAGTCCCTGGCCTTCCAACACTTCATATTAATTTAGGGTTTAAGTCTCATTAGACTCAATTCAACTTATTTGCGAGCTGCTGCTGAAAGAGACAGTCCTGCTCGCCCTCACTCCTGTCCCTCTCTGCCTCTTTTGTATTGGTGCTAGTGACTGGTAGGCTGCAAGGAGAGTCAGGGCAACTTGCTGGTCTGATGTAAAACCAACGCGTCTTAACAAACAAAACGCCCAAATGAGGAATTTTCTGTAGGATCACTCAGCTGAATCAACCGCTTCTCCAGCTGCAAGTGTTGTTGCTAAAGGAGCTGTCCCACATGATGTTAAGAGTAGACTGGGTGAAACCTGAGGCTGCACCCACAAGCACCCTAACACTGGTGAATACCAAACACGTACACATACTCACTCTCTCGACTCATCAGATGGCAATAAACTGGCCAGTGCACCCTGTATCATTTCCATATCTTTGCCAAAACACTGCTGTTATGCAGACATGGTAAGGCAGCTGCACAGGAGCAGACAGACTTGTAAAAAGCTATCTAGAAGGTCGGTGGCAGAATCTGTTTTGTTCAGAGTCCCAGTATTGAGCTTGGTCTATCATGCAGTTATTTCTTCTGGTCATCTCACCCCCTCACTCCATTTTATCTGTCTCTATGAAGTTCTGCAGCACCAAACGAAACCACATGTAGAACTAATGTGAAATGCAAGGCATAAGTATTACTACTTAGGAATTTAGGATTTTGAAAAAGTGTGTGTGGGGGGAAGGCAGCCCAGTTTTCCACCTTGGAGATAGCTTTGAAAATAAACAGTCCTTAATTACTCATTATTTGGTTTTAATACAACCAAATAAATTGCCTTCTTAAAAAAGGCAATACAAAACTGTTTCCATAGTGGCTGACATTTTAAATTACATTTTGAGAATGCTTGATAGCAGCACAGCCTCTGCTTTCTTCCCTCCAAAAAGGAAAGATTTCCCTTACCCTCTTCTACCCCCAGAGAAACTGAGAAGAAATCAAAAGAGGGGAAATTTGCCTAAATTGTTCCAACAAACACTTAAACATTAACTAATAGTCATACACACTTAGCATACACATTAGCTGAATTAGGATATTTTAGTATATTTTTATTAGAATATCTGATAGTAGCTACCTACAATAAATTCTTGATTTTCTTCATTATTGACGATTACAAAACAAAAATGGCACCTCTGGAAAAATGCTGGTTTATAACATTTGTGTAGAACTGAAACACTCACTCTCACTGACCATCTTGTGTGGTTTGGAAAGGAAGCAAACCTGAAGTTAGATCAAATTTATCATAAAATTATAAAGAGCTGCTTAGAAGGGGCCCCTGGAAGTCACCTAGTCCAGCCTTCAACTCCGAACAGGAGTGTCACCATCAACAGATCAGGTCAGCTGCCGCTTTATCCAGCCAGGCCTCGTGAAACCCTGAGGATGGAGACCCCACGGTCCCTCTGGGCAGCCTGTTTCAGTGCTGTGCCACCCTCCTGGTGAAGAAGAAATTCCTCATGTCCAACTTGAACCTTCCTAAATGTAACTGGTGGATGTTGCCCTTTGCGGTGTAGTTTCACTTGCACTCACCCTTGGCTTGCATTCAACTTGGGCCCTCCCACAATCCCCAGTTCTTTTTCCACAGGGCTGCTATCCACCCAGTCCTTTCCCAGAGTGTACCCATGCATGGTGATTTTCTCCTCAAGGTGCAGAAATTTGTGCTTCTGTTCACTGAAACTCTTGAGGTTTCTGCTGCCCGGTCCTTCTGGACTGAAGTGCTGCTATTCATCATGCCATTCATTCTCCTGAGTTTAGTGCCCACAAATATGGGTGCATCATGTCTCATCACTGTTTAGTGTAGCAGTCATTTATGATTACAGTGCTTGGTGCATTTCTTCCCTAAAAAATACCCAAGTCTTGCTCCTATGACCTTCTCAGTTACTACAAAAACACTAGGGGTCTAATTCTGCTCAGAGCTGAGGTATCATTAGGTTGCTTCACTAATACTAACTAGTTGATCTTAATATATTGTTGAGATTGAGATATATATAATACTAACTAGTTGATCTGTAATATACGGAACATAGAACTATTTATATAAATATATAAAAAATTATAAAAATATAAAATATAAGTCCAAAGATATATAACTATTTATATAAAGATGTATAATAATACTAACTAGTTGATCTTGTCTCAAGAAGGGACATGATACAAAACCTTTCCTAGTCATCCTATAAACAGTAGGTTATCCCTGAAATTATCAAAGGCAACTTGAAACAATTTGAAATTAGTAACAGGCAAAATAAGTCTTAAAGGGTTTCACATATTGAGGAAAAACCAAATTTCTTTTCCTGCTACAATAGAATAGCTTCCTGCAGCCACCTATCTGACTATCTTCACTTGACTATATCCTGGAGAATGGAAATTGTACATGGAGTATTATGGGACAAACCAGTCCTCATCTGCAGCCAAGTTTCTATTAAAACTTGGGAGTTGAATGAATTTAAGGCTTTTTTCCTTTTCCTCTCATTTCTGTATTCAGCACATACCTGTTTAACATCTTATAAAAACATGGGCTTAAATGTAGTGTTAACACTCTAGTGTAAACAAGAAAGCAAAGGTCACTGCAAAGCCACACCAAATGGTCTTTTATATTTCTCTATTTCTGAAGATTTATGTCACCAGTAATTCAATTCAATTTATGCCCACCAACAGACTAAAAAGCTCCAAATAAGTTACATTAATATAGTTGCTATGGAGGACATGGCTGGCCTCCACAGGAAGCCAGTTAGGCAGCTTAATCCTTCACACTGCACTGACTGCTAACCACTCACAGTTGTGGTTTTCTGATGAAAGTAGTGTTAAATATGGAAACCACAAGCTGTGAAGAAGTGAATTCAGAGTAACTGGCACATCTAGCAAAATGTCATCTGCCCCATGTGAGCAGAGTCTGACAAATCAGTATATCTTGTCTCAGTCAGTGGCTTGTGTCACCTGATTTCTTAAGAAGCTAAGTTCCCATGGTTCTAGGTCAGACATATGCACAAAACATGTACAAAGAAACAAGGAGAAAATGCCTTCTAGTACCAGCTGGGTATCACCATGTGTCCAAGCTCATGTAAATTCAGTTTTCATTTCTATTCAGCAAGCTCAGTTCTTCCTCTCTAGGCAAGGTTGGCAGAACTACATGAAATGGCCAAACTCTAAGCTTCTATAGCAATATTAACATTAAGGTGTTATTATGGTTCCCCTGATTCTTTTTCTCAACAAAGATGTGCTTTCAAAGCAGTTGTTCTGAGCACCAGCTGGTTCATGTCCCCTGCTGACCCCGTACATTAGTCAATATGTTCTGTCAAAATGCTCCCTCCCCTCTCCATTAATGGCTGCAGCGTGGCAGGGAGAGGAGGCAGCTCTATGCTTGCTAAAATTGTAGTCAGGAAGCACAATAAAGAATGAAAGGCAGGAAAACCTGGTCTGCAGTGTTTGTCTAGTTACACTCTCCTTGCAGATGCATTGAAAATGTGTCTTTCATCGCTGCATGGTACCTCAAAGAGGTCTTCATTAAGCAACCTCCATCAATATCCAAATTTTCTTACTTAGCAAGCTTAAAGATGATAATTTTGAACCTATTAACAATGGAGAGATTAAAAAAAAACCTAAACCTTTTAAAATGCCCTGGAGCCACAACTGAGCTTGCTAGTATCTCTCTTTTTTTTCTGTTCAATTACCCAGTTGCATTAAGCACTCAAGTACTTACTGCCCTTACGCTCTCAGATGATACAATGATTTTCAGGGCATAGACCGCTTCTGTTTGGGACAAAGACTTGCATATGACTGCACATCATTTCCCTCCTCTCCCACTTGTATGTTCTTGTTGTGCTAAAGCAATGTCTCATTAACAAGGGGAGGAAGCCCCAAAACTTTTGCTTTTAGCTATTGGTGGTGAGGTAAGAGAAATCATGAAAAAGCAAAAAGTTCACCACCACTGTAAAAATCAGCCAAAAATTACGAGCTTTTTCACATTTTCTCAGCAGCTAATTAAAAAATTAATGGCTTTCTACTTACACTGAGAAAACTTTAGAACCAACACAAACACCACAAGTCACAATTTGAGTCCCATTTTCATCTTAGCTCTTTGAGTATTTCTGGGAGGTTGAAAAGGTACAATTTAAATTCAGAGAAAAGCAAGCTTTTGCACATTACAGAAGTTAGTTGAAGAATCCATTTATCTGTAAATTAGAACAGGAACGACACAAAAAAGAAACTGCATTGAAACCAGGGATGAGACTTATGTAACTGTTGGGGAAATTACACACACAGACAGATATCTCAGAAGGAAGAATGAAGCTAAGATACTCAGAGCTGAGGCTGATTTACTTCGTGCCAAATACTGTTGCATGCAATACAGCTGCTTTTTTTCTCCCCTTGAAATCTGAATAGCTTAGGATTGCTCAAAAATATACCTTTCACATTTCACGAGTAACCATGATTTTCCCTGTCAGGTAAGTGGCAAAGGTGTTTCTCTGAGAGCAGCAGGTGTTTCCTCACTCACCAAGTCCTGAACAATATTTCTCTTACCTGCACACGGACTCACTGCAAAGCCCACTCTCCTCTGGGCTCTGTCAAATATTACATAGAAGCCTTCCATGACTGTAGCACCAATAACTAGAGCATTTGTAGAGGAAGAGATGCCAAATCGGTAGCACTGTAAATTCTCTCCTATTCCAAGGATGGGTTGAATATAAAGCTATTAAAAAAAAATAAAATCCAGAGTGTAAGAAGCAACACCACACAGTACTTAGAAGTTCAGACCTTTTGATTTTTATATTCAAGCACTCAAACTCCACTGGAAACAGAGAATGAATAGGGGCAAACAGATTTCTGTGCCCGATTTAAGACTGGTCAAAGCTTATACGCAGGTAAGAGGTAAAGCTCTTGGATTCTAAGCTTAAATTTGAACACAGTCAGTCACTATGTGAAGGTCAATAGCAAATTCAGGAGAGCTGCTTTTTATTGTATTTTCTGTAAGGGAAGGATAGCTGAGAAAGAGCTTGAGATATGAACTCAAATTAGAGAATAATTTTATTATTAAAAAAATTATCAGGATGGAATTGATTCAGAGAGCATTCAGTGTCAGCTTCAAGGCTCTAGATTCATAAATTCAAGTCACATTTCACCCCTTGTCTCCTCAGGGAAGATGAAAGATTGCCAAGCTACATGATCAATACAGAAAAAGATCATCATAAGGCTTTCCTGTATTTCATGTTAAAATGTACTTAAAAGGTTCATTCTCTCCTTTGCTCCCGACCATCCCCTAAGGTAAAAGACTGTATTAGTAATGTTAGAGGATATTAGCCTGTATTGCAACATATACTGGGAGGGGAAGCCAGAGAGGAAAAATAAAAGTGGCACGTTAGATTCTAAAAGCTGGGATGGAATATTAATAAAAGATAAACCAACCAAGTTGCAGAAACTGGTGAAGAGATCACATAGGCTCGTTGACAAGACTGCCATATTCAGAAGTGCTCTAACCCAGAATGTCATGAAAAACAAATCAATTTGCTTCCCAAAATGAGAAGATCAAAATGATCAGAGACATTCTGTATTGGCATCTAATATGGCTAAAGCTTGTGAAAACAAAACAAGAACTTACCTATTTTTCCTGCTGATTTGAAAAAATCATTCCCAACTACATGGACTGCACTTAGAGGGAAACTGTGTTTTACTTTTTTGGTTTTAGGTTTGACAACTTTGTTATTTTCCCTATTTAAAATTTGATTTTAAAAATTTCATTTAAAAAGATTTCCCTTGGATGCAATAAGCCACTTCTCTATTACTGCTAAAGATAGTTCATATTTTTTAAGTGCAGGTCCTTTATAATAGTAAAAATAAATGTATAACTGAATAAACAAAGAAGGCTGAGACCTGTGGTAGGACAGAGATCCGAAATGACCTGCTGGAGTTTTCATCCCTCAGGTAAATGGAGATTTTAGGAAATAAGGACCAGGGCCTTTCAGTTTTATCCCAGCAAGCAAGCTGTGAACCTGTCCAGAAACCAGAAGAGAATTCTTGTATCTATTAAAAAAAAAAAGAAAAAAAGAAAAAAGTGATACATACAGATTACATACATTTTGATAGACTTTTGTAAATGATTGTTACCGCTATTCAATACTTCTTCCATTCCCACGGAGAAATTCAAGCATGAACACAAGTCTGACAAAGAGCTTTTTCTTTAGGGATCAAAGCAAAAACCCAAAACACGAATCAAGGTGCGTCATAACCCATTAGGACTTGGAAGAAGGGGGAAGAGGCAAAACCAAGTTTAGCTCTGCCTTCCCTCCCCCATCTGTGTCTCATTATTTCCACCTCTGCAGTGAACAAGTATGACCTCCCTGAGCAATCAGTACCACAAAGAGGCAAAGTATCAACAGGCTTTTACTACCTATCTACCTCTTCTCTGAACAGCTCTGACCAAATGCCAATGTTTTGAAGTAGCAGACATTTTTAAAAACACACAAACCAAAACATAAACCACATAAGTATGTAATGGAGTCATCTCCCTTCCTCACATACCTATGGTTTCTAACTCAACTTTAGGGTTTTGAAGGAAAGGGCTAAGCCAAAATCTCCTGGCATTTAAGGGAATCAAGGTCTGCTACAGTCAATGAAAAGAAACAAGTCCTTCTGTCTCTTCTGCTGCCTTGTCACTCAGTACTAGTACAACTTGACATGATTTGAAATAAGGTTGATTAACAATACTTCTTAATATATCCATGGCACTAACAAAACAAAAAGCAAACCCCTACAGAGCATGTTTGCTTAAGACAAACATCTTGTCTACTGTTCATGCTCTCTGAAGCTGATCTGCTGCCAGATCAGAGGAAAAACCTTCCTTATTTGAGTGCATTACTTTGCACTGGTTCTTATTCCAACATGAAGCAATATCCAAGGCAGTATCTTGTTCTGATGCTGCACAACCAAAGCCAAAGCCTCCTGTCTGGATGAATACGAAAGGTGCAATCCAGCCTCTCCACTCCCCTCATTTGTATTTATCTGTATATATCAATCTGTATTGATTATTTTGTAAACATCAGCTCATATATTAGTTATATGGCATTTTACAGGTGACAAGTATTCACCCCACCCCACATAGCTGCCAGTGAAATCTTTGTTAGGGCTGCACAGCATTACAGACTTAATACTTCCAGGTGCTCATCTCTGTTCATGGGTCAACAAACGTACACTCATGTAAACAGACAATGAGACTTACCATCACAAACAAACTGCTTTTACCCTTAACACTTAATGCACACTTAAGTAAATCTCTTGGCATGGGACAGAACACTCTGCCCCTCACAGTGAAGTCTCAGGCCAGACCAACTGAAAAGTATAATTCTCCTCTCTTTCCATTTTCTCTTGGAAAGCAAAACTTGTGATCTGAGAAAAACTGCAAGATAGCACCCAGACTGGAAGACCAAGTCTATAAAGTGCTCTATTTTAAGTGCATACTTTCATTTCCCAGAAAGACTGCTTATTACATTGCATTTCTTTGCCTTATTTCCGTATGCTGAAGAAATGCGTTGGGGGAGATTTGGCTGTATGATACCTAAAGGGTTATTGAAATAAAGATTTGGGGTTTATTTGAGCCTTCCTTTCTTCAACTTATTAACGTAGCATTGTATTAACGCCATAAGTAGACATGCCGTTCTGACTTCAGTTCAGTGATGTGTAGTAGCTGCCACCCCGTTGTGGCTCATCTCTGCCCATCTGCCAAAATCACCACCCTTCAGACCTGCCAACATCAGACTGCACCTATAGCTGCTGCCTAAAAGGCTTCAGTCCAAATGAATAAGGTTTAAAAACTGATCTGAACCACTAAAGAGCATAAAGCTCACAGCCTTGTTTTTTAATGGAGCTGAATAAAGGAATGCTTCACCTGCAGTTATCCCAGCATACCTGAGGGGGCAATAACATCTTGCTGGGAAGCTTGTAACAAGCTGCTAGGAGCAAGAACTTGTTAACCTGGTTCACCTGTGGTCAGAGAAGTATGTCTGACTACAGCAGATAATTTTACATTTCAGTGGTACATAGCCTGCCAGAAGCGCAGAGTGCTAAGTGTATGGTTGTGATGCCATGGTACAATTACTGAAAATACTGATTTTCCTGATATTGCTCCTACACAGATGGAATCTGATCCTTAATATCTTGTAACTACTTTCTTATTTAATAGACTATCTCCTTTGTTTAGAGCTGTGAAAGTAATTTTTGGTGTGTGTTGAGGGGAAGGAGTATGGCAGCAAGGTCCTTGAGATTAAAAAGAAACCCTAAAAGAGGAGTTAGTTTATGCATTTTTAATAGGAAGAACAAAAACCATTAAGCAAAGTGAGTGAGCGGTTCCCCTCGAATACCTTATTGATCAGTTGACTGTTTACTTGTCATGTGGAAGGCCCCAGTTCAAATGTCCTGACCAACATCAGAGAGGAGTGTGGACTGCCGTGACCCACTTCACAGGAGGATGCCCTACCCACAAGGTGCCATTACAAGAGCTCTTGGGTAGGTTTCTTTCAATTCCTCCCCCATTGATTGAAATTCTTCCAGTCAATACTTCAATGTTTTGCAAAAAGAATGAACTGTTCAATCAGGGAAGTTAAGTTACATAAGGTAACTGGTACATTTATTTCAGATACTGGACACCTGCAGGCAGTGAAGAACACTTCATGCCAAATCTCTTCTCAGTCAGGTAGGAAAAGGATCTCAATCTTGAATTATCAGCATACAGGCAAATACTCTGTGTTTTAGGCAGCTGGCCAATAATCTGGTTACTGTATTTCCTGTGATTTGTAATGACTACCATGTCTAATTGTGAATCCATGACAAAAATATTAAAATTGTTCACATTTAAACATCTGGGATTTATTCTCCATCTTTAACCTCCTTGAAATTCTTCATCGTATCCAGCCAAAATGTATGAGTAGTTTTTATTAACCAGAAAATGCTGCTTCAGTTACTCTACACTCAGAGAAATCCACCATCCCCATGCCCTACTTCTAAAGCCCACTCCACTTCCAAAGAAATATGCTTTTAAACATAAATAATTCAGTAATGAAGGTCAAAAGCAGCTTTATTGATATGAATAATCCTAATGAATGGCATCCATTCTATATAGCAATAAGCATTATACTTGCAAAGGAACTGCTTGCAGTATAAAGTTCTTCTACTTTATAAACACTCCATTTTGAATGAAAGGACTGATTTTTGCACTCTTAATACTTGAATCAGAGCAACAGAGATGATGTCCATGTTTCTGAAATGCTTAGACCAAATTCCATCTCTGCACAACTTCTGATGAATTTCCATACACACGTTTCTTGTCTGTACTTGGATCCCCCTTTTTCCTCCTCCCTTTGCTTTTTCACCTATTTCTTTCCCTTTTCCATTTCCATCAAAGACTATCAGTCATTTCTCAGTTATTAGCTGAGACCAGGAAGGATTCTGCTCTCCTCAGGTTAAAACCCTGTGACTTACAAGGTAGATAGCAAAAATGACACTCCTTTCAAAGATTGTGTGGCCATTTAATAGGAATTTAATGTTTCTAGCAGATGTAATGACATTAGCTTACCAGGGATGTGCGAGCTATTGCTTCCACAACAGCACTGAAGACTTTCTGGGGCAGACGGAGGAGCGTGGTTCCGCTGTCTACTATCGCTTTATCGGCATTATACTAGGGAGGGGGAAAAAAGGGGAGAAGTTACACACTATAGCTAATGTAATGTAGATTCCACTGTTTCATAACAATGACAGAGCTGTTCCTTTTTGGTAGCCGTTTTCCCAAACCTGCATTTCATACCTGTCAGCAGCTCTCTCTAGTTGATAGCTTGAATTCAAATGAAGTCTGAGACCAAAAGCAAGATACGGTCAGCCCGGAGAACAAGAGTGAGTTTATCTGCACCACTCGGGAAATTACTGTGTGCCACCACAGCTGGTGCAAATGGCTAAGCTGCTGTAGAAAGAAGTAAAGCCTGGGCCCCTCCGAGGTATGAGCTAATCCACTTTACCTCCCATATGCTTTGGGCAAAAGCACTCTCTTGGTCAGTACAGACAGATGCTAAGCATGCTGATGTAGCTTGCACATACGTGCAAGACCTGAACCAAGATCTCTGCTATCATGGAAACAATTCACTCTAGTTTAAACACAATACAGCAGCCTACTTTTAATGGCTGGCATATCTAGGAATAGCCAGGGAACATTAGGCCTCTTTACATGTCATGTTTGGTACTCAAGAGTACAAATGCCAAATGCCACACCTTTCTCTCTCAAGTGCTGAAAACCACTAAAACACAGACAGAAACAAGTACAGAGGAATTTGAAATTTCAATCCTGCTGCCTCAAAATCTGCACTAAAAAAACTAAGCAAACATTTCATTATTAAAACCCCAACCCTCAAATTGAGAGATTTCAGCAAACTCCAAATACAGTAAACACATAATAAACAGTTTAAAAGGTACATCTTTTTTCATTAAATCTCTAAAAAGGATGATTAACCGGGGAGAGTGGGAGGGGGGGTGGATAAGGCAAGTAGCAGTGGCAGCTGTTTGCATTAGTTTTGTTACCAGCTTAGGCAGCAGGATCAATACAACTGAACAGTGACATGGTTATGGCATAATCATAAGACACAAAGTAATATACAGCATAAGCTTTTCAGGAAGAGGTCAAAGAGCAAGCAAATTTAAAATACGTTGGTTTAGATGTTATCAAGTCACATGGAATATATTTAGCATAGTGACAAAAATAAAACCCACCAAAGAGTAAAAAAGTAACTCTGACTTAGTTATTTTCTTTTTGAAGGAAGAGCTGCTACAGACTGCCAAGCAGAACCAAAAGAAAAGCAAACAGGAAACCATTTATTATACACTCAGAAACACTTCTAAAGAGCGGAGAGAAATATAAAGGCATTGTGGAGTCCATTTTAACAGATTTGTACCACAAATACACAATCACCAGCATCCTGGCAAGGTACCAGTGAAAAAAGGTAAGTAGGAGGCACAGCCAAGAGGGTCAACCACTAACGTAAACCCATGCAAAATGCCTGGAGTGGCAGGATCGCTCGGCTAGGGACTGTGCACCTGGATTTTCATGCTGTGTACAGCGTACTTGCAACGGGCAGCAACTTGCCTTCTTAGTCTTCCTGGTTAATATTTAACAGTGCACCTATGCAGGGTGCAGTGCTGGCAGCTCAGTACTTCCCTCAGCCCTGGTCTGCCAGGCTCAAGGCCACAGCTGCAGCGTAACACTGGACAGATTCCCAGCATTGAAGCGAGGGGACTGCTTTTCCCTGGCAAGGAAAGGAGTAGTCTCTGGTGATGGCTACAAAAAACGTTCCATTTCCTAGAAAACAACTAAGAGGAGAGAGGGCACATAGTTCATCATCCTATGCAGTGAATTATGCATCCTCTGCAAGCCCTTAACTAGCCAAACTTTAATCATACTGGCTCTAATTTACTGTTCTTTCTCTAAATTTTTGCAGGAAGATCTCCTTGGATCAAGAAAGGAATGATGCCTTCTGCACCAGTGGCTAGCATACTATGGTAATACATACAATGTGAAAGCAAAGCCCAGCTCAGAAAAGAGCAACAATAACAGGAAACTCTCGTAACACCACTAGATTTTTAAGTGAGTTGTTTTCTGGAAACAGCATGTATTAAACCATTAGTACAAGGGATCCTCTTCAAAAACATGTTGACTATTTTTTTAAGAAAGAAAAGCAAACACAAACCAGTGCTTTTGCTTTCCTAACAGTATAATAGAGGCAGGCATTTAAATAGACCTTGTTTTGTTTATTAAGTTGAAAGACGATGTGACTCATTTAAAATATTTTATATGGCAATATGATTTCCATTTTTTGTATGAAAATATAATATTTATGCACATGTAAGATTTCTATTATGAATTTAACTTAATTTGTATGAAATATAAAAACTCTAGATTTATCATGTCCCAATCATTTCCACCAAAGAGAACAAGCATAAGGTAAAATTAAGATATCTAATGAAGACAGGGCATGAACATTATAGAACTAAAATCAAAACATGAATAGCAACAAGCAAGAGTGAGAAACAAATAAAACACACACAAACACACATATCCTCCAGAAAAAAAAATGAAAAAGCTTTGGAATAAAAATTGCAACAATGCAGTCTCATTAGACTGATCCAGAAATAGCAGAACATTACTCCTAATAAAAATAGAAAACATATCCATCAGAAATAAAAACTGGCAAAGCTGAAGCAAGTAAAAGTGAATTACAAAAATTAAAGGAGGCACAAGATGAGATACTTTGGGAAGTGTCCCAGGATGATACCTGCCCACTGCCACTATGAATTACACAATTAAACATCTCCACAGGGGTCAATCCAAAATCTTCCCTTTTCTTTGTTTGACCAGAATTTCTTTAAAGCCCTTTGGTTTGACTTTACTGCATAATAGAAAACCACAAACTGCAGATGTTTAAAAGACTGTCCCCTTGAATCAACGCACCATCTTCAGTGTTTAGACATTTTTTTTACAACTGAAGCTAGTGAAGAGGCTGAGCCATTCTAAACCACAGCAACCTTATTTTCAGCAGACCATTCACTTAACAATTGTAGTTTAGCTCCTAATTTACTGAAAATACTACCAATGACTTTAAAGTCCTCTTTGAATCAATTTTAGGATGCTTGATGTACACATTGCATTTCACATGGGTCATTCGTTTCTTTTCTAAGTTACCATGCAGCCTTAATTCTTAGAGGAGACTGCAATACATACCTGCTTGCAAAGAGAAAACTGATCATTTAAGTGTTTTTCTTAACCAAATTGCATTTATGCAGACAGAAACACATAATTGCAAATACCTCTCTGCAGTCCAATTCGAGGCTATGTCCTCCGACCTCCAGTTTGAGAATTTCAACCTGGTAATACCACTCCTCTTTGATGGGTGTGTACCAGATATCACCTCTGTACAGACTTGGTTCAATTCCACCCAGAACCTGAGGGAATGGAGAAAGAAATTTGTATGCTTTAAAATCCCAGATGTTTAGTTTTGGGGCAAGTACAGGAAAAAAGGGGAATATTTAATTGTGATACCCAGGGCATCAAAATTTTAATTTAGTACCATTTATAAGGATTTTACTGACAAGTTCTTTGTCAATAATAAAGCAGTATGATACATCTAGACATTAAATAGATCATGCTTCAGTCAAACAGAATTCCCATACTGGGACAAATTACCAGCATCTTCATCTACAAGCTCACACTGATTCTCTTATGAAAGCTCCACTGTTTAAAATCAAAGCAGTATCTTCAGTGGTTTAATCTAGACAATGTATAAAAATGGGATAGAATATTAAACTTGCACATGATAAATTCACTTTATCAGATCAGAAAAGCCTTAATACTGTTCAAGAATATATTGTTTTTCTTATACACGTGCAAAACGGAATATGACCGTCCTATCATTGCTATCACTATTACTTTCCATCAAAACTTATATTGAAGCTGACTGGGAGCATACTAGACCATGAGACTTTGAACTGAACTAATATAAGCAAGTTCTCTCTTGGGTTTCATGTGTCTCAAGTGTGTTAACATTTACAGTATGTGAATACACAGCAAAATAACTGTGATCAACTCCTGTGCTGATATGCTTATTTCAGTGTAATTCAGGAACAGTCATTCCAACTCCCGATTCCAGATAAATAATGGCCAATTCTTAGTCCTACTAAAACTGATGAAAAGACTTTCCAGAGTAACAACAAGCAGAAGATCTGATCTTCAGATTTTTTTCCCTTTAATAAGTTGTCTCCAAAAAAGGAAAAGAGCCTTGATTCCTCTCCTCCTTTTCACATCGTGTAAAAAAAATTACTGTAGCGTTGTGATGAGATTGAACAAGCTTAGAAGTTGAGTAAAGGACTACTTAGATTGAGAAAAGTAGCAGAATCTGCCCTGAGGGAACATAACATTTATGTTTTTCTTTTTTAAAATTGAACTTGAAATGCAGAGTTTACTCAAACTTGAGAGAGAAAAAAAAATGGATAATGAAAATAGACAACTTTTCCCTAAAAAAAAATAGAAAACATTTCATATCTTTAAACACTAAATTTGGAAGAAGTAGGATAGTATTAGAAAAGAGGGAGAGAGATTAACAAAGATACATCTTCCCTCTCAGACTGACAGATACCCACAAGACTACCTCCGTTGGTACCACTTCCAGAAACAGGGAGTCCAGCACCACACATCTGCAAGGAGAAAATGTTGGGGATCTTTGCCTGCCTCACAAGAGAATCAAAGAACGTCTCCACAGAACTTGAAGGCTTGAAGGTGTTGAAAAAACAAAATAAAAAACAAAAGAATTGCAGAAGTATTCATTAAAAAGTTTCTTTGCAGAAATGAGCAAATCATTCAAACAAGACCACTTTTCACAAGTAAATTGAATTTCTGACAACTGGGTGATGAAAATTCTAGATATAATAAGTCATTAAAAAACCAACATCTGTCATTTTTCTGCTTCTGCTGTTTTTAAAAACATTTTTACTCTTGACCACTGTCATAGAAATCCCTAAAGCACGAGAATATTTTTCAGTAGCAGTTTTCAAACTCAAATAATAGTTTCAGGTGGAAACTCTCACCGATGCTTTCTGTTTGGAAAAGGCCTTGGGTTATTAGAACACTCAAATGTAACTTGCCATTTGCACTTTTCCACAGTGAAAAGGCACAATTTTAAAGTGAGGATTTTCAGCTTTTAAACATAGTTTAATTCTAATGAACTTTTAATTCAATGGGACTTACTTCCTCTTATTTATTTTAAAGAATTTCATATCCAAACACACTCATTTCAACTGATTACTGACCAGCAGGTTCTTCCTACACTGCATGTCATGTTTTCCTTTGCAGTTAAGAGTACTGCAATTTCACTCTTAATTCACATTTATGTGCAGCTACATCTCATGACTGGCAGGGACCCTGTCTAGCTTGTGAGACACCAAGTGCTCTTACTACACAAAGCACAGAGCAGCCTCAGAAGCCAACACCACTTAAGTCTTTGAAAGAAGGGAAAAATAAATGCCCTGATGCACTATTTGCCCAAATCAGAGTTTGAGAAGAAGCTTTTCTCTGCTTGATGACAAGTGTATGATAGCAAGTATAGCAAAAGTCAATACAATGATCACACAACTCTTGAATAAAGCATTTTAATTCCAGAGTCAGCAGTCAGTATTGAATCATTTGTTCTAATGGGATATATCTCAAATTTGTTAATTTTTCAGACAGTTATGTGTAGGTTGAAAACTATGACTATGTAGTATTCCAATTATGTTTTCAGTTTTAGATCATAAGGTTATAAATTTTAGACTATACATTTTAGGTTTTAATTTAAACTTCTACCTGAATTTCCTACCACCACAAGAACAGGATGTGCTTGGTTCTGTGTTCATGAAAACACCATAGCTAATATTTTTTCTAAAATTATCCATATATGTCCTCCCTCTCAACCTTTACTTGACGAATGGAGAATATATTAGAACTGCCAAGGGCTTTGCCAAGTAAGTTCATCAATCCATTGACAGGTCTGGAGAGAGATCACCGGGGCCCTAATACACAATTTCCACACCTACAGAAGAAGCCTTTACTCTCATACTCTGGTACTACAGGCTCTGTAAAAGCTTATTCATTCCAGAGGAGCTAAAATCAGAGCCTTCATCACCAGAAAAGCCAAAATTCTCACATGTGACTGTGGTACCATCACAATCTTATTTATTCTTTCTGGAACAAACAAAAGATCCATACGAAAGAGCAGATGGAAGGGAGGAGTCTAATGCTGACAGATCATCTGTTCACTTTATTTTCATAGTTAGATTTTTATTTATTGTCATTGTGAAAGACAAGAGGTGGAGAAAGGATGGTTTACCTTGGCTAACGCATCGTAGGCAAGACCAAGAATCCCATGCCATTTAACCCCTGGTAAGAAGAAATTCTCTGATTCAAGAATGGTAGCAATGTTGATGGTGTAGCTGCCATAGATTCCTTTTGGGATAGTAATGACATCTGTACCCAGCACTCCAGTCCAGCTTCCTTGACTGTACTTAACTGTGACATCAATCCCTTCAGATTTGTATGTACTTGACCTTTAAAAGGAAAGGATACACTTACTCATGAATTGTTCATTTACAATGCAAGACAACAGAATATATTCAATCTCATTTTTTCCAGAGAGTAAAATAGGTGAAGTCTGCAAAGTCAATCACATATACTCACAGAAGGAGGGGGATAGATTGTAAAAGCAGTAAAAAGTGGAAATAAAAAAAAAATCCCGAGCCCCTGTTTTTATCCTGAAGCCAATGACTCAAATCTTCACAAGGTGTGTCTTGTTTGTTTGTTTGGTTTTGTTTTAAATCTAAGGTATTATGCTACCTGGTGCAGCGTGTCCCTGACTCGGACTGATCCATCACAATAGGAGCAATACTCTAACTGGAGATGTAATGTGTTAAGTGGTGTTAGGAAATGAAAAGCTTCTGAATTTGAGCCTAGAATTGAAATGCCAAGCTAACTGAATATCTGTAGACTAATACCTCATTAATTTTATTAAAAAATCCATTTGGGGTAGATTGGAATATTATGGTGAGTATCATCAGTAAGACACAGGTTTTCTAAATCTGCAGCTTGGTCTATCCATCAGGAAGTAAGCAGACTTGGATATTATTAACAAATGATCACTGACTTGGAAAAGAAAAGGAAGGAGTTCCTTCTAGACCAGGGCAGCAAAGTCAAAGAAGCAGTTAAGTATAGCAAGCAAAGAAAGGAAAAGAATCCTGTTTAGAAGGCTTAACAGAAACATCATAAAAAACTTCAATAAATTTTTCATTTTAAAATCCTGTAGTATACATATAATAATTGTCTTCTGCCCGCATCACTACTGAAGAGCTACAAAAGTTCTAGATCACCTACAATTTATTTTGGTCCAATTCCTCAGCATACAGCTTCCCCTTCTGAAGAGACAGAAAACCATGCTCAGTTCACCTGAGCAGAATTTTTGCTTGACAGCTTTTTAAAATGTAAATTAAAAAAAATAAAAATCAAGTGTAAAATAATTTCATAACACCACCTTTACATGTGTGTAAAACTATAAGAAGTGCAGGTGATTTATCAAGTGTGGACAGTTTTATCAACCCAGCTTTAATCTAACAGCTGCTCTGACAGAAACAGCCACATGAAGACCCTGTACCTGAGCTCGCCAGAATGAAGTCAGTGTGATTTCTCCTATTATCAAGAACAACCTTTAGATGGCAACACAGACAACTCCCATACATTTAAGCAGACACTTCATCTTGAGGGACAATTTGGCCATATGGACCATGCAGCTGATCCTCTTCCTAGCTAAGAGAGGGAGAGAATAGTAAGAGGTCAGGCTCTAACCCTAGTTATGTTTAGCTCTAACCCTAAACATACTCCCAGTACCTAACTCTTCAAGGCTCTTCAGGGCTCAGTAGCTTGTAACACTCTAGACAGCAGAAATATATGAGATAATAGGCCCCACAGATTATATTTTAAAATGCATGACTTCCAGAGATACTGTTGCTACCTGTATCTGGTCACTTCTACTGCTACTGCTGTTTTACCTTTCTGTGTAATTCTGCATTTGTATGACACTTAGACAAATGGACATCTCTGCTCAGGCAGGGTCTTCAAAGTACTACTGTGATACTGACAATACATTTTATAAATCTAAATCAAGTCTGGATAATTAGTGACATAAGAGAAACCAGGGGTGGGGCAGGAAAAGGAAGGGAAAATATATAGTATTCTTAATGTAGAAAAGTGTCTGGCAGTGGAACAGAAGAGGAAATATCTGAACTCAGAGAGAAAAGTGAGTACTGGGAGAAGAAAACAAAGTGAATCTGCAAATACAGATGCTGCATGACTAGCAGCAGCACACAGCTCTTCTTCCAAAAGCCATAACAGATTGAGCTGTGGACTAGGACACAGAAAGACTGGGTTCGTTTTCCAGCACAGTTGGTGAACTTTCCTGTGGAAAGGCAGGACAAGTCACTTCCTCGCCCTCTGTGCCTCAGCTTCCCCACCTGTAGAGATGTGTATGAGAATACTCATCTCATTTGTAAACTGCACAAATGTTGTCTTGAAGAGACTGCCTTATTATTTCCTTTGAGGAGCAAAATTCCTAATGTAGGAAGGGATCTTACATAATCCTTGTGGCAGTAAACTATATTCTGTTCTGCAAAACCACTTCCTGCTCCATCTTCTTGACCGTAATCAGCTCATATTTTTCCACCTCACTGATCTAAAGGAAGAAAACTTCTTTAGAGGTCAAAACTATAGACTTGTTCTAATTCATGGGCTGAGTGTTTTAAAACAAACACACAGCACAAAAAATTACAAACAAGCTGTTTTGGCTGTGATGAGAAAAGAAGAAATTAAACTCTTCTGGCAGGAGAGAGTGTATCTTAGCCAGAGGCAAGGAAAAAGGCCTCCTAGTTTATGGTGCTGTAGTGACACTACTCCATTCTCCCTCTCCTTCCTGTTTACTATCTTCTCTCCAAAGCAAGCAGCCAACAGAAACATGGCCCCCAAACTTCAAATGGATCTCAAGCCTCAGCTGAGAAAACTAGCAATGAGTTCATTTTCTCATGCAGAGTTACTTCCAATTACTACTATATAGCACTGAACAAAACATAACCAAAATATTATTTCTCATCTCATGCTTCGTTGGAAGGAAGCTCAACATGGCAACAGGAAATCCACTACGCAGAAGGCCCTGCTTAACACCAACCTTGCCGAACACATGCAATTCCTTCCTAATTCCATGTTCTCTTGCTGCTCTGCAACAAACCAGGACTTCAGATTTTCCTGCTTACCCACTCACTTTCTCCTACACACCAAATCAATGTCTCCACAGACAGCAATAGCAAAGAAGGGACAGAAAACAGCAATCACATTTCAACAGAAGTTTTGATCCCCTCTCTAGTGATAGATAGTTGGCACAAGATAAGTGATTCAGGGCCAACAACTTTAAGACAAAGCAAATACGAAAACTCAACATAAATTACTGATTTTTAACAAAGAATTCCCATCTAATTTGCAGGGGTTCTGGAAGAAGTTTATAGTTTACCCCAAACCACAACCTGTACAGTGTACACAAGCAAACTTGCAGGTTCATACTACAAAGCAGCAGTTTACTTTTGCTTGCTGGTATATAATTTATTGTATTACCTCAATTTATTGCTCATAATTTTCTTACTTCCTTGTCTCTTGGAATGATTGACTCTTGAGCAGTTTTCTCTTGAAACTTTAGATGGTGAGACAGTATTATTCACACTGAAATAAAACTGAATGCTGTTGCTGAATACTGACAGCCTCGAGTATGTCACTCTTTCACATACCACTACAGAGCCATCACTGATAATTTAGTTTCAAGTGTAAAAATCCCTTTATACATCTGTTTAAGTAGCTCTTTCATCATAAGTAGCATACTCAGTAAAAACTACTTGTTATTTTGAACAGCATGAGGAACAACATTATGATTTCTTTTCAGTTCAGGACAAATTAGGCCATTTCCCAAAATCTTATACATCATGGTGACTTTTACAGCATGATCATCACAGCAGACTCAGAACTTTTCACAGCAAGGTTTTGTCAAAGCCACGCAAAAGCACAAGTTGTGAAAGAGTTCATGATAACAGCTTTATTCGTTTTGTACAGAAAGACCGAGATAATTAAACAGTAGAATTCTATTACACGCATTATATGACACACAACATCATTTAACAAGCTAGTTCTAAAATTGTTCAAGGAAGGCTCTTCCTGAAGAATACACCCTCTGGGTCCTTTGAAACACAGATAATGCTTCTCCTATGCACCCTCCTCAATTTCAGTCAAAAAACAATCATGCATTTAATTTGAGATTTTGATCATTTGAATAAAATTAAACTAAGAGCGTGGCAATCAGGAAATTCAGACCCATGACTCTCTTTCTTCAACACAATATTAATATTCTAATAAGCACACATCTGTAACTCAATCCCATTAACTTTACAAATTACTAACCCTTCTTTCCCCTTGTCTTCAATTTGCAGTTTATGACTTTCATATGGAAGCACTCCATGACAATATAGGGAAAAACTGCAGGAATGATTACCAGATGAGAGGAAACCTCTTTATCTAATTTTGAAGTGTTCCACATAGTGTGGAATAAAAGTGCCCATAGGTCATTTGTCCCATTTACACATGGGTAAAGGTCACTCTAAGGTAATTTTACGGATCCAGCAGATGTGATATCAAGGCCCCTAATTCTACCATCTATGTAAAATCATGACAACCAGGGAAGATAACCTGACTACTAGGAAAAGGCTATCATAAGGTCAGTCTCAAGAGGAGACAAGCAGCAGCATCCAAGGAACTATAGGTCACTGGGCTTCACCTCAAGTCAGGAAAAGTCTCAGAGAAAAACCTCCTGGAATCTGTTCCCAACCACATTAAAGGACAAGAAGGTAATCATGGACAGTCAACAAGGAATTTCACAGGCACACCAACCTGTGTCATGCCTGACCAACCTCATTACCTTCTACAAGATGACGACTGGCTATGCAAATGAGGAGAGCGCAGTGGCTGTAGCACATCTTGACTTCAGTCAGGCTTTTGACACCATCTTCCATATCATTTCCATTTGGAAGCTGAGGATGTGGGGCTAAACAGACCACTGAGTGTGTTGAAGATGGGCTAGACCACTGGGCTCAAGGGACTCATGATAAGCTTAGTGCCCCAGGGGTTATGAGTGGAGAAAAAATTGTTCAACATCTTCATCAGGAGCCTACATAATGGACAGACTGCACCCTCCACAGATTTGCACAGGATACTGCATTAAGAGGAGTAGCTGAGATGCTGAATGTCAGAGCTTGAATCCAAAGGAATCTTGAAAAACGGGAAGATTGAGCCAACAGAAACCTCATGGCATTCATCAAGGAGAAGCCCAGAGTTTTGTAGCTGAAAGAAAACAACTCCATGCATCAGCACAGACTGGGAATCGACTGAAAAGAACTCAAAAGGACTTGGGGTGATGGTGGACACCAGGCTGAATAAGAGCCAACACTGTACTTGCCCTGTGCATAGAGCAAACTTTACACCAAGCCACATTTGGAAGGCCATGGGCAACATATCCAAGGAAGTCGCTCTCCCCATCTAGTCAGCACTGGTGAGAACACACCTGGAATAGACTGTGGTCAGCTGTGGGATCTGGAGAAAGAGAACAGGGACTGGCAGAGGGCTTCCAGACAGGTCAGGGTCCATGAACACAGGACCTGTGATGAGAAGCTGAGAGGAGGTTGGCTTCAGTCTTGCAGACAAGAGGCCAAGGTGAGATCTCATAGCAGTTTACAACACCTTGAAAGACAGTTACAAAGATGACACAGCCAGACCTTTCACCTTTCTCTTCAGTGCCAGACAAAAGAGGCAACATGCAGAAGTTACATTTTGTGAGGTTCAGGTTGGAAAGTAGGAAGTATTTTCACCACAGGAGAGTGTGGCACAGAACTGAAACACACTGCCCAGAGAGATCATGGATTCTCCACCGTTAAAGGTTTACGGAACTTGGCTGGACTCAGCCATGCCTGACCTGATCTGGTCACAGCCCTACCTCTTTTGCGATTTGTACTAGGTGACCTACAGAGGTTTCTGTACTGAAACATGCAACTGATTTCAGTGGGGCCAGGTTCCCTCCCAGATTACATTTATTTAAATGTATTTAAAGAATTTAAAATGGAAGCAGCACGTTATAGTCAGGTTCAAACATGCTAATGGTTGCACATTATTCTGAGCATATTGCAGTACTCCAACCAAACTCAGAAACTGTTATTGCAATTGCTCCAGATGGTAATGACTTGAGTTTAAGTCATTTACAAAGCATTTACAAAACACCCTTAACTATTCCGGGGCTAAATTTCAAGGCTTCATTGTTAACTTTATAACAAAGTTCTCAAAACACAGCGTATACTGAAAACACTGATAAAAAACTTGTAACCTTCAAGTGATTTCACAGCTTTTCTCAACAGACAATCTCTGCTGTTGTTGCTGTTTCTAACAGTTTATGGTTCTTAGAGAGAGGCCTTGCCCTTCCAGACAAAATAATATCACTTAGGAGAAAAGGGAGAAGGAATGCTTGTGCTTTGATTCCTTGCAATTAAGTTTCGTCTAGCCACTACCTATGGAAGGGGACAGCTGGCATACAAAACTCTGCAGTAGTGCAGAAACAGCTTTAAAGTGCAAATTCTGGACTTTCCAGACCTGTGTCATATCAGTGAGATGTGAAATGTCTTAGTTAACATCTGAGTATGAGACAGGAGGTAATGCTATTCTAGTAAGCAGCATGGAAATGCTTGCTTTCCCTCTGGTTACAAGCACATTTTATTGGAAAAAAGTGCAAACCTCCATGTTAAAATACATAAAGAGGTAATGAGAATGGTGATACTCTCCAGCCTCCCAGTCCTCTAATTATTTTTATTCATATGCTTCAGCTAAAGATAGACACTGTGTTTTGGAGAAGTTTACCTGAAATAATTGAAACTAGAGAACGGCAGAAAGTAAGGAAGAAAGGAGGGAGAGTGATTCAGACAAAGCTGTGCTTGGCTGTGTCTAGTGTCAGCTCATGTGAAACACAGCAAATTTAGTGCATAACAAGCATGAAAACCACCAAGTCCTATCTTACAACCAGATTTAGCAGGGTCTGTCCAGATCACTAACTGATTGAGGCTCTTGGCCAAGCTAAACAACAAATCAGTTTTTGACTAATAATTTTGGTTTTGGATGAAGCTTCAAGTAACAGATACAATTACTGGGTTTTAATTTTTGTTTTCAAAGAAAGGGAAAGTTTATTTGTAATTCATTTTAAGACTACTTGGATTAGAAATTGGCTGAAATTGGTGTGATTTTGCAAACAGTTTTTACCCCATAATCTTATTCCCTTTTCTCCAGCTCTAATCAGTGCTGCACTCGGAGCTGGGCTGTGCTGCCATCAGTGGGACTGTTCAAGGTGTCAGACAAGACTTTGCATCGCAAGGCCAATCTTCCCATTCAGGCAACAAACATCCCACTCTCATGGGATGTCACAGAAGCGCCACAAGCTGCCTTATCATTCTCTTTCACATGAAGGAGTCAGAATCTAGAAGACATCCTAACCCTTCACAGCATGTAGAACAGGTACTTACAGCGCGGTATTGAAGTAGGAGGTGACATCAGGATCAGGCACACCCGCTACAGCAAAATTACTGCTCCCAGTGTCAACCAGAATATTTAACTGCCGAAACAGAAAAAAGGAGAGGTGGTTTTCATATCCAACTAAACAAACAAACAAGTCATTGAAGTTTTTGTCTAAGCTACCTTTAATTTTAAAATTACTATGAAAGTTGCCCTAAAAAATAACTTTTGGGAAAGAGATGCTGCTGCAGCCCCTTCAAAACAGCTGATCATGCTGAAGTGCTTTAAAATAGTCATGTTCCTCGAAGGGGAAAAACCCTCCAAGCCCATATTCACACAGCAGATGAATTCACAACCACCTCAAATTTCTTTTTGGCCCAACCCATGTGTCTTGGTAACCTGCCTCGTCTGGGACACAGGCTGAATTGCGTACTGTTTAAAGCACTGTTTGCCTTAGAGCTTATGAGGTTTCGAGGCAGGGGTTGAAGTGCAAGTCTGAGCAGAAATAAGCAGAAGCACAAAGCTGCCTCATGGCTTGATGAGCATGGGAACGATGCCCAGTTCATCCTGAGTAGTATCAACCTACCACTGCCTTTAAATAGGAGGATGGCAGAATTACAAACACTGTGAAAAGCATTGATTGAAAGTTGGCCTAAGAATGGGCCACTTGTTTGCTTAATTGGGGGATGACTTAGGACAAAAATTGCCTAACAAAACCACATGGACAAAACAAGACACCTCCTTTCCCCATTTGGATCAGGCAACCAGGCTGGTTCACCACAGCTGCATGATGGCTTGTGCTAACACAAAGCAGAAGGTAACAGCACAGGAAGAAGCAGTCGGATGCGGGATCACCTCTTGCAGTGAGACCTTGAAACTACACTAAATGTAGTGTCATTAAATGATAATTTAAATCAGTTAGAGACTGTACTACTACCAAAAGCAGTGGTCACACTTTTTCCCTGCTCTTGGCTGGATGCTCCCCAGGGCATAAGCACTCATACCCATGGGACTGTGATACAAATCAGATCAGGTTCCTCACCCTGTAGTTACCAAGAAAAAATTAGCAATCTGCCATATCAGACAGCTACTTGAACAGAGATGGTCGGAGCAGATACTAGAAAAGAGCGATTGCCTCCTTTGGTGACAGTGTGGTTTCAGACTGGCTTAAAATGATTGTGAAATTATGCTCCAGGCAGTAGGGGACACCTGCTTCCTAGAAAAATATTAAGGAATTATAGTTTTCCTGTAGAAGGAAATGAGACATGAGGACTGGGTTGCCCATGGTTTAAAGCCAGCTTGAACGAGCCACTCTGGTAGTCCTCATCACTCCTTAAGACATGACGTAGCTAGGAATCTAGCACTGAAAGTGGACATGGGGAGGGTATGAGAGAGCGATAGGGGAAACAAGTATATTTTTGACAAAGGAAGTGGAGAAACAGGGCCAAGATCAGAAAATTAGAGTAAAGACAAAGGACGATAAAGCATTTGGAGAAGACACATTGAATCCTTCTTTAATAAGTTTAAGACTGATCATAGACAAAAAAATTGTGAGTTGATGTTCAAAAATATCTTTGGTTTGTTCATGGAAGAGGAGGGAAGAGATGGTTACCCTTGTTTTACCTAGTTAATATAGTATGAGACTGAGGAGCTCTGAAATTAAAACATGAATACAAAAACAACTAGTAATACATGGGACTGTCTTCTGAACTGCACGCACACTCTGTCATTGGTATTCTCAGTTGTAACGCAAAAATTTTAAGACTTAAAAAAACCCAAACCCATCACCTTAGTCAAGTGCCTCACTGCATCCCAGATTTTAGATTAAGCAGAGACAATACATTAAAATTTATTTTGCAACCCCACGAGCTAGACAGTGACATTTAAAAACAAGAGGACATCTACAAGTTCACCTGGCTCCAGGAGCTGAGGCTTAAAAGAAAGTAAGAACCTCCAAGGCATGGCTTGCAATAAAATCCAAAGTTTGCTACATACTTTATTTCAATGATCAAAAGCCTAACATTTTGTCAACTACCTAAAAAAGTAAGAACTTGTCATTTTTCCCCCCTCTCTGGGATAGAAGTTATATTAAAAATAAATAACAAAGAGCAGCTACAATGTGTGCATCTATCAGGACCAACAAAAGTTGCCTCAAAGGGGTGCTGCAGGGCTTAAATTAATTAGCCTTTCTGAGGCAGTCTGTGATGCTTGAGTAATGGGCACTATACATCAGCTGCATAAACACATGTAGGTGTTGCCCTAGCTTCAGTAATATGCATGACACCATGCACGGAGGAGGAGTTGGGGTAAAAAAAAAACAACAAACCAAAACCAGACAAAACCCCAATTACTAAATATGACATATATGAAAGATATTTTACCCCCACGTCTTAAATACAATGTTATCATCACAGAATTCACAACTCACTGAAGAAAAGGGCAAATTTACTACCCACAGTATGAAGCAAATCAACATTTAAAAAAAAAAAAAAAAAAGATATTCCCCTCTCTCATAAAAAAAAAAAAAAAAAGAAAATACAAAGCTGGCTAACCATGCAAGTGCCAGCCCACTCGGACACAGCAGCATTCACATGACAGATCGCTATTGAGGCTGACATTCTCTATCCGCATGTTTGTGCATAATGAGATGCAGGCGGCCAGGGCAGACACTGATTTATTGTAGTCCTCACAATAGCGCCAGTGATTAGCAGCTCATTTTGGGGTGGGTATAACTTACTGAGTTCTCTTTCTCTCCTGGCTACCCTTTGGGTCTGAATTTTCTTTAGTGCCTTCACGTCTCATTACGAACCACTTTCATGCTGTCACCACTGGAGCCTACTTTATTCGGTACTGCCTGCTGCTGGTTTAATGGTGCTGCTGGGGGAGCATCAGGCAAACTCTGGTGAGTCACAGAGTGGCAACCTACCCAGCTGTGGTCCAGGGCTGCCCATCCTGCCCCATCTCCAGAGGTCATCCCTGCCCTCTCCCAAAAGATGAAGCCAGACACGCTGTGAGCTGGATTTCACTGCCCAGCTTACTAACAAAAACCGAAATCAGTGGCACCTTGACTTGATTCTCTGAGCTACACGCTGTGACAGCTGGAGAGTGGTCATACCTTTCTGTGCCTTTACCTTTCTGCCATGGGGACAGAAGACCCCGATGTCGAGGCAGAGGCAACGGCGGTGGCAGTGTCCCCCCCAGCAGCCTCCTTGTGAAGCCCCAGAGGTGGTGAATCAGAGCTCTTGCTGCCAGGTGGAGCAGATTCCTTGGGTTTATTACCACCCTCTCAAGTGAATCACTCCCTCTCACCCAGAGTTGATTATCTAGTGATCACACTGTTTTGTCAGAGATTGTCAGATGAAGTCAGATTTTGCGAAAGCCAAGGTAGGAGAGACACAGCTGAACAAGGCTACGAAGGAAAAACTGACCAAAGACTACTGACTGATCACATGCCCAGCATTAAAAACAATGAAAAACTACTTTCCTTTTGCTTTTGGGGGCACAGAAGGGAAGCCTTGGTGTTGTTTTTTGGTGTTGTTGCTGTTGTTTGTTTGTTTTAATTTTTTTTTTTTTAATTGTGGTTTCCAAGTTCAGACCTGTATAGCAGAAAGCCAACAGCAAATATAAAATGCTGTTTTTTCCCCCTGAAGGTCACCTTTACCACAGCCGTGGAACATAAAATCTGTTCCTAGTATCGTACCTGGAGATTATTTTGCTGGATGCATTTCCTATATGGAAATAGCGTTGTTATTAAAAATAAGAGGTTCGTAAAGATCCCTAGCCATAGAGTAAGCAAGATAGTAACATCCACCTCTGTCATGACATACAGAGGAAATCTGACACTCTATCTATATGCCATTAAGCTGTGCTTATAAAAAGAAACAAATCCAAACCTATTTACTGAAAGTCACAAACACTGAAAGCAGAAGCCTCTTTAGGCCATGCATTTTGTATTTTTTCTACTCTGAAGGGGTAGAGATACTGAAAAAAAACCCAGTCACAATGATTTATTTCAACTGGAAGTCAAACACACTGTCAATACTTCAAGGATCCCTCAAACTTTCCAGTTCTTGATTCAGTGCCAACATCAAATAGCACTTACTGTATGTTATCCTGCTTCAATAATTTAACTTACCACCATGTCTTAATATTTTTAAGCTTTCCATTGCTGAATATTGTTGTATTTTGATATCAGAAAAAAAAAATTGCCTATTGATTGGTCATCTTTTTTTCATTCAGCAAAACTTCGTTTGTCTGTGGTGCAGACACCTGTCCTATCTGTTACAGCAAGTGACTTCCACGCGTGTCATCAACACTAGGCATTATCTATGCCTTATTTAACTGCTTGGTGAATAGCAATTTGCAGGTACCCCACCATGCATTCAGAAAGTAACTTCCTTCACGTTTTCAGGGAAAAGTGATAAAATGTGGCAATCATTCCATTTTTGTAGCATGGAGGGTGCTAGCATCCTCTAGCAGGGACAGATGTTGCCTGTTCTGATCTACACCTTACTCAGACTTAGTCCAAGTTTCTCTTTCTTGTTTTAGTTTGAGGTCAGGAGTTTTTGGTAACTTTCAGAAAAATATACAAAACAAATCCCATGGGCTACAAGTGCATAATGCATTTCTTTGAAGCAGATGTCTGCGTGGTTTAGCATACACAGCCTTTTCCAGGTGGGAATCCTAGGGCTTGCATGCAACCCCGTCACGCTGCTGCTTTTGATGTGATTCCCTGGGCAACTCACACTGAACTAGTGATAATCTTTATCCCCATTAAAAGGCCGGCCCATGTTAAAATCCACTGCAGTTTTTTTTTTTCAAGTCAGCAGGTCTGATCCTTTTAGGTCAAGCAATAAAGTTTTACCACTGGACAGAAGAAACCAGGCCGCAAAAACGTATTCAATGTATTCAGCTCTTCATCCCTCCTTTAGGTGAAGCACAGAATAAAAAAAACAAAAACCAAAAAACAAGCAAACAAAACAAAACAAAAAAAAACAAACCAAAAACATTTGCACAGATAGAGCCATAAATATAATAATCAGTCTCATTCGGCCTTACATTTACTTTGGGGTTCAGTCAAAGTCTTAATGATAAGCAATT